ACTACAAGGTAAAAGTTAACTTATTCTTGATATGTTTTCTCACATTAAATCTTTTGAAATAAAGTTAAAACTATTACGGTATAACATTGAAAAAAAACGAACTAACAGATTTTCCAAATATTAAAAATCTTTTTGAATCATCAAAATTTTCATTATCAACAGTTAAATTTATTGAAGCTATTTCGATACTTCAACAGGAATTTAATAATCGATTATAAGATTTCAAACTACATTCACAATACTTTTAATTATTATCCAATCCGTTTAATATTGATGTTGACAATATGACTGTTGAGCTTCAAATGGAAATAATAAATTTTCAGTCGCAAGATATCCTAAAAAACTCATTCAAATTCCTTTACTTTTTTTCGCTGAACTTCCTGAATTATTTTCAAAAATTAAAAATATAGCTGCAAAATACTTCAGTATGTTTGGATTCATTTACGAATGTGAACAGGCCTTTTCTCACATGAAAAAAATTAAAAACCAATACAAGTTACGTATAACTGATGACTAGGGCTCGGAAGTTGATGCATTTTGCATTTTTTTTCGAACTTTTTAGAAGATGCTATCCTGGCCACAAATGTGTTTCATTAGCATATGAATCCGAATAACTAATTTTTATTTTGCATTTTTTGGTGATTGTTACTTTTTAAGTCATTTTTTGACGTTTTTAGGTAATTTTTCCATATTTTTAGTCATTTATACTGATTTCACACTAGTTAATTCCTTTATTGTTTCTTATCGACCATAGATAAAATCCGATAACTTAAGACTTGTCCGATTTTATCTCGTCGATTACATACGTCGTTGTCGTGTTATAGTGAATAGTACTCGTATTATATTTAAATTTTATTATTTTTATTTATTTTTTATTTATTTTTACTTTAATATTTTCGAAATGGCGAAAATTAAAACGTCGGTTAGTGCTCGGTGCTCGTCTGTGTCTCCCACAGTGGACGTGGACGCGGAGAGAAGTTTTTCCAAATATAAATACTTATAAACAGATAATCATCATTGATTTACTTTTGATAATATCAAATACGCACTAATCGTACAATGCAGTAATTTTTAAGCTTTGATAAATTTATAAAACAAATATTTGTCATTTTTTTATTTCATATTTTAAGGAAATTTGTTTTCATTTTTATGTCATATTTGTATCTTTTTTAAGTTATTTTCTAATGCTTTTAAGGTCATCAACTTTCGAGTCCTACTAATGACCATCTCCACCATGTTCTTAGAGCGGGCACAAGTAATTTCAATGTGTAATTTAAAAATTAATTAACAATATCCAACAACAATAATCACATTAATCATTTTACCAAACAGTTGTAATTTCCATACTTTCACATTGTCAAACGCTCTCGCAGAATAAAATCCTATCCGGGGCAAGATTAAAATTCTAAGGGCCAAAGCAACGTGTATCTAAAAATATAAGAGAACAAAATCAAATACCATAGAAATCGGTACTCGGGAGAATTTATAGTTTTAAACGATACACAGTCATGTGTAAACATTGTAAACTAATAAATACCTTCGAGATTATACATTAATTACAGATTATCTAAAAATATAATACATTTTACTAAATTTCATAAATGGATCTCAATAAAATTATATTATAATTAATGTGCGTGGCATTAAATTAACAATAGTTTTGAAACAAAAATTCCCAGTAACGGCCCCTTTAATCCCCCCCCTCCTTCGGGCGTGCATGCACGTTATAATTGTATTAAAAACTGTAATTTTTATTTTATAAATTTTATTACTTTAAGTTTTAGACAGTTTTTTTTTTTGCATAATAAATAATTTAAGAATAAAATATTTTAATTTTTGTTTGACTCGCCAACTCTTTTTAATTTGTAAATATGGCCCAAGAGTCCTAAAAGGTTGCCGACTACTGCTTTGTATGAAAATGCTTATAATATACATTCAAAAATTAATTGAAAATGTCATATAAAATATAAATGATTAATACAGTGAGTTCCGCTTAATGTGATCACTGGTTTATAGAATCAACCGTTTATTAGAATCAAAAATGAAAATCCCAAACCAAATTGTATGCTACTAATGTTAAATTGACCTTTTATTAGAATCACTGAGTACCGGATAATTGAATCACTTTTATGAACAATCTTATCGTTTTTTATGGTATCTCAAACTGATTAATTTATAAAAACCATTTTATTTTTGAATTTATCAGTATTATTGTATATCGTTGTACATTATGTCAATCAATTATCTTTGTACGTCGCGGCGTCGTGTACTTGTGTCATTTAGTTTATTCGGCTTATTGTTCATGATCAGACATATTTTTTGAAATGTCGACCAAACGAAATGATTCAACTATAAAAGAAAAAAAGATATAGTCGTTCGTTTTGATAAATTGGATAAATGTTATGTATATATGTATTAGAAATTATTAAATATCTAATTATAAATAAATAATTGTATTAAAAGATTGAATTATAAAAAAAATTGTTGTAATGCTTTTTAGAATCAACCGGTTAATAGAATCAAAATGACCTGCACCAAAGTGATCACATTAAGCGGAACTCACTGTAATAAGTTCTGTTAAAAAAAAAAATATTGATATGGATATTAATAATATTAGTATTTATAAGTAGGAAATAATCTTCAGTCAAAAAAATTAAAATAATAAAATAAAATTACAGATAATTATTAATAGTTTTTAAAGCAATCTATTGGCCTAATATTTTAAACCTAAACATTTTATGTATTCTAATTGGTTAATATCCTCTCTTTATATGTATTCCATGTTTCTTGTATAAACTCTTAATTTTTTATTAAGAATAATATCATCCGTATCTACCTCGCACAGGTAAAAATAATTTGACTCGCTCAAACGAACTATTATTTTTTAGGTTAAAATTATTACCTTTGCCCAAACGACCACCACCCCTAAAAAAGCATTTGTGTCAGGCCTAATGTAAAACCCGCATTATTGGGTTAACCGATTATCGCAACCCAACTGGACCGATTTATGGAACCGCAATAATGGAGTGAATCGTAAGTTCCTACACGGAGTAGCAGGCAAACAATTACATACGTTAGTTCCTACATGGACATAATATGTACCTACATATTATGTAAGTTCCTACACGGTAAAAACCAGGTACGATGTTAGTTCTTACACAATTTTTTCGGAGACAGTATTTGGTTGTCATTTTCATTTAGGGCAAGCTTGGTATTGTATAGGGTTGCCATATATTTATAAGGCAAAACCGGGACAATACAAACACAATGTTGAGTAATATATTTTTTATATAAATTTTAATATATTGAGAGGAGTGGTGTACACAAGAGGGGATGTGGAGATCAGATCCCCCTCTAGGCTTTTTTTTATATGTTATAAAATAATGTTTTTAGTGTGAGGGCGTTAGAAACGTATTTTCAAAAAAAAAATTTTAAAATATAATATATTATATATTTATATGTGTAAATTACAAATTATGTTTTTATTATATATTGTTAATCGATTAAGTATTAAAAATGTACTTGAGATAAAATGGTCGAAATTAAAAATTAAACAATACTACATTTCTTCTATACGTCCAAGCCGGGACATAAGGATATCCCGAAAAGATTTTTCAGGATACCGGGACGCGAAGTCCAAAACCGGTGACAATTCCGGTTTTCCGGGACGTATGGCAACCCTAGTATCGTAAAATACAAAATTTAGATTATACACCACAATTTAATTCTGCAAATGACAATGGAGTACACGTGTGATCGGTGCCTCTTGACGATCGTTAATAATAGGTTTACAATTAGTATTTAAGATTCCCAGAATTTGTTTTCCCGTGGTAAAGTTTTGTCCATGAGAGATAAGATTAGCTAACTAAATAAATTTAACATATATTTAATATAAATTAATAGTTACAATATTTGATGTATAAATGTATAATAAATATGGAAAATCCATTGAGCATGTCCCCCTCTTGCTTCCCAAATGGACGTCCTTGGATAGAGGTACATGATTTTGACTTGAAATTACGTGTACAATTTTTTCATTATATTTGCATTTTAAATTATACCTTATTAAATACAAGAAAAACAGCCAATATATAAATATATCTTACACTGCTAGTAGTTCAGGATTGTCAGTCAAGTATAAGGAAGTCATTTGGGGGGGGGGGGCAGACTATGGCAAATGCCCCACTCTAAGAAATTTTAAAAAGTTGGCAATCTTTGTCCAATGATCAAATGCTAAAATCGATAAATAGTAAACTTTTATTTTCCCATATCTTACAGTTCCAAAGTCGGAAATGACATTTTTATCTACAATATTTTCAACGCTTTTTTTTGTATAATTATATCAATTATACTATGCTCACCGGGTACAAAATATATTTGATAAATTTAGAAAATTGTCTAGTATTTTTTAAAAATTTTAAATTGTATCCCTATTTGTTTAAGTAAAAGATAAAATAGGTTTTTCATAAGAAGAACATGAATTTCCCATGTTTCGAAATTCAGTACAACATGGGGCAAGCAGGAAAAAAACCTTAGAAGGAATAATTTGTATGGTTAAAATGTAGCAGAAATCAATAAACCAAACTTTAACTAAAAAAATTTTACATTGAAAATACGTCAAAATTAAATTACAATGGTATTTCAAAACCACCCCAAGTTTGGGCTTTTAACGGTACACAGACAAATAAAACTAGTGTGTGTAGTCACCTACACTATCATTATAGTAAAACTCTTTTATACAAATTAAACACAAGAAATAAAAAGAAAATTGCTCATGTATTTCATATAATAAAATGAATGACACATAAAATATCACTTATCACACTTATAACTTATTTATTATAGTGAATACAATTAGTTCTCATTTCGATATGTTATTAATAATTTTGAAATTATAAAGAAATTAATTAATAAAAGCTAATACCTAGTTATGAAATTATTTATATTTTTTAAAATGAGTAATACTAGATTTATAAAACAGTTAAAAAATTTACTTTTCTTCAGTGTAAAATGTATACACTTTTATTTTTAACATAACAAATAAAAGACTATTCAACAAACTTAAAATAATTGCTTCTTTAAAGTATAAACACATCGTCTATCAACTGCCTTTAAATATTTATTCACAAAAGTATATCTTAATCTCAATTTTAAATTTTCTTCAGTCTCAGATCTCTGGAAAGAATTTTTATTTTTAAAATTTACTCCAGGAAGTTTATTGTCTTGACGTTTTTGAGGACCACGCCACATATGAAACTCATTGAGTATAAACACATCTCCTTCTTCAACTAATAGTTGGTCTCGTAACAACAACCCAGTTTGTCTATATCGAGTGCAAGGAGAAAAACATGATGTTGAAAATCCTATTTCTTCAGAATCTAACGAACAAATAAATTTACAAAAATATTATGAGATAGTTATTTTCATACCCAAATAAAAAATAACAATAAAAATAAGAATATAAAATTTCAAATAAATAAACAAATAAAATAAAATTAGTAATACTGTAAAAATAAAATACCTTTGCTACTAAGTTCTTGTCCATTAGGGAAATCAACTATCATAAATAGCTCTAGCATGTGTGCATAATCTCCCCCATTAGCACTTGTAAAAGGTGTAATACATTCAAATTTTAAATTTCTCTTTTCAACATGTCGTACTTCTGCAATAGTACAGCTGAGCATATTAAATTCCACCATTAAACAAGCATTAGACACTACCTAAAAACAAATAAAATTGTTTACAAAATTAAATTAAATCAGTTGGTTAAAAATTCAAAAACACAAATATTATAATACATATTTAAATATTTTGAAAATCATTTATGCAAAAATAAAATGTAAATTATATCTACATATATATAAAATAAATTTAAATAAAAATGGTACACAGAAGTCTAAAAATAAAATAAATTTATTTATGGTAACAATTTGAATAAAGCTATTTTTTTTGATTAAATATGTATTAAATAGCATTGGAAATTATAATTTTATCTTTTCTTGTATATAATTATATTTTATAATGGTTAAATACTAATAAAGTGAATTAAACATTTATACTGTATAACATATACATACGTACAAATAGTTCAAAAACTAATAAAATTTAAGATATTTAAATAAAAAGTAAAGAAATACATTTCATTGTTTACTTGGTAAAAAAATCAAACAAAAACACATATAGAAAAAAATATATTAAAACATATGCAAATTTACCCGGCAAGGATCAAAAAAAGCAATGAGTGGTTCTGGCATCACACACCACTCTTTGTTTGAACCAGAACAATTTTCATCACCAGGAAATTGATCTATCCACGTGTCTGGCTTAGATCTCATATCAAACCCATAAACATCCTTCCACCAAGAACACCACGTTGAATCAGAAGAACTGTCAGTATCACAATCTTCTTCTTCAGATTCCAACTTTTTTTTGCTAAATTTAGGATAATTGGTATTTTTCTTTTTTTCTTTAGTTTTAAGCTTGCGTATACGACGATTTTCATAGGCTCGTCTTTGATCTGACAATTGGCCATACAAAGACACACTTTTAGGTATCATTATGCCTAAAGAAAAGTTAATAAATATTAAAATCAATGTATAGTTTTTTCTATTATAGAGATATTATATTTAAATAACCATTTGGAGAAAGAAAACGATTTCTTGCTTCAATCACTTGTTCCATTTGATCTCCTTGACTAATGATACAGTCACCCATGAAATCAGAAACTATAACATCAACCTGAGTAAGTCCATGTGGCAACTCTTTTAAGTTTTGTACCTATAAAAATAAAAATTAATGTTATGAATGAACATTACACAATATGAAGTTACACATACACAATTTATTTATAAAATGTTTGATATAATTGTTAATAATAAATATAGTATTGTAATTTTTCATTACACTGCTTTGAATTAGGGTGATTTTATGACAATAATTGTTATCTTTAACTATTTGACGAGCATATTCAATACAAGCTGACTCTTCTAAAACAATCACTTTTTTGGCACATCCATTACGAGCACATAACAATGGTAAAAAGCCAATACCGCCACGGATAACTAAAACCACTTTATTCTAAAAAAAAAGATAAATTAATAATTAATATACATTTTAATAAAATATAAAATAAATATAATATTTACTCTAGTGATTTCTTTTACAAAAAAAAACACTACATCAGCACATGTTTTCATTATCTTACAAATATACAACATAAAAAATTATATTTTGTCATAAAAACTACAGTACAAACATTATAAATGAGAATGACATACTCTTAACTGTTAAATATAATACAAGGTTTCTTTCAAAAAATAATTTTAATGAAACATAATAATTATGTGAAATAATAAGAATTATTCTTTAAAAATTAATTTCAATTAACTTTAATTTACCTTATAGTATCTACTATTTACATTTTTTATTTTTTTTTGCAAGTATTGTTGACTGCCACGTTAAAACTACAAGACTTGCTATTATTATTTCGAGGAATCTAATAGCCCTACTGTATATTTTACTATCAGGCATTGTAGGGTCTTCAGTCGTAATACATAATTTTATATAGAAAAATACCTTGACGTGGCCTCCTTAGAAGTTCTATGAAATAGTTTTGAGATATAATGTTTCTTTATGAAATAAAATAAAATTTTTTTGTAAAATTGATATTTTTTATTTCAATCAAAAATCAAAATATAAGAATTTATAAAAAAATGATAGTGGCAATCTCCTCAGTCTTTATTGGATCAATTTACCCTACTTATGGCAGTCAACCTTTTAAAATATACTTGATTATTCAAAAGTAAATTATCAATGAAAATCAAAAAATTAATGTTATAAAATCAATGTAATGAATCTTTTAAATATTCTTCGACAAGTGAAACTATAAAAGACTTTCAAATGCAAAAATTGCATGGTTTAATAGGAAAAAAACAATATTTAAAGTAGTAATTATACATATCAATTAAAACCTTTTCGTTGGTAAGATACAAATTTGCTAACGTACCTACCTACTCTACAGGAAAATACTTGTATTTATACTTAATTAATATAATTTAATTAATATTAATATTAATATTAATATTAATTTAATTTATACTTAATTTAATACTTGTATGTATTTTTAAAGAAAATTATATAGGGATTATGTGTACTAAATAATTTGTTAATATTTACCTTAATGAACTTATTAGCACAGTATTCTATGGAATTCAAGTATGTTATTGTACGCACATAATCTTTTATTTCAGACTCATGTACACCATAGCGAGCATATCTATCACGATCAAAATCTGCAGCAGTCATCAAGTGTAACTTTTCTAGATTACCAGACGTCTCACATAAATCGGAATTATGATCCAAATTTTGTTTGTCAGACTTGTATTGATTCTCAGTATTAGAACCGAAAATGGCATTAGTACATTCATTTGAGTCTTTAGACTGACATACGATCTGATGATTTATTTTGCTGACATCGATCCGCGATCCAGAAGCAAAGGTTGTCGTATGCTGAGGATCATTTTTGTCCATTTTAAAATACTTGCAACTTTTCTCCCCGTACTTTAATTGGCTATTTGGTGTTGACACATTTTTGGTTGTCTGGTTTAACCAGCGGACAATCTGATTATAATGACGTCCGGAGCTTGGATAGCGCTTCTGTCGATCATGAGGACCGGGCCCAGACTGAAATCTTGTCGCCGCATGCTGTTTAGAACTACCAAACGACGAACTACATTGATCTACGGGCGGTCTCTTGAAATAGTTGCTGTGATTGGATTTTTGACCATCACCGCGCCCTTTTTCCGAATATTCCCCGCCATTAAGTATCGCGTTTTGAGAGGCAGCAGCGGGGGTGGAAGCAGCGTCATCGGTGGTCACATTTGTCTGCAGCCCGAGTCGGACGTTGCGCTTGTTCTCGTCGTTCAGTTGCATGTTTTCAGTGCGTCTTCGGTAACAGAGACGGACACTCCGCGTCGGATGTCGTTGATTTTTGAGCGATGTGAAACGAAATTCGACTCGCGAAGCGGTGTGTCGCAATGTTACCAATAGCTCGAGGATGAACGAAAGAATCACGACGACGGTTACGACACGCGGTGTTCAAAAGTTGGATTGGGCGACAAAACTCGCTCGTCGTGATAACGGCGATTTACAATAGATAACGGTTGCGTGCATTGTCCGTGCGCCGCGATAGCGTGGCACCCCGCACGTGCGGTGGTGACGATGGCGATGGCCTCCCGGTGGCGGGACCGAGCTACACGGTCATGAATGGGTGCTCAATTTCGGGGGAGGGGGCGAGATTAACCTTCTTCAAAATGATCGCGTCTTGAACATTGTCCCAGTGTACACCGAACGTCTTTATTGGTGGTCGCTACATTACGATTGCTACAACCGCCCCCTAAATTACGTGTCCGGTCACGGTTGGACCGACGCGGGCGGGTGTACGAACGACATATTGTACCGTCAACAATGTATAAGATCGTTCTCGGCAATCGGTTTCCATAGCGAGAGCTGCGACGAATGAGGTCGCGGGGCGAAACGATAAGAACGGAATTAGAACCGGGCAAACCGTGACTATAGCGGAACCGCGACAGACATTCGACCGTCGTAAACGGCGAAAATCACTCGCAGGTTGCGTCACCGTCGAACGACTGCCGATCACGGAATTTCCAGCCGGAGTAGTATGCTGTGCACAGATCAGTATAATCAGTAGAACACCACCACATACCGGGCTGCAATCTGAACGAAATGTCTACACTAGTCTGCTGTTGTTATTTTTTGTTATTAAAAAACGATAAAATGTTCATCAACACTCAACTTCTCCGGAAATCTTAAAAACAATAATGTCTATTTTGAATTGAATTATTATCTTTAAAACTATATTTTATAGTTCTATTGTTGAAACTCGTAAATATCCATAAGAATCGTAAAATAAAAATAAAGAAATCCGATAAAATACTACTTCTTCTATTAGTAACTCAATTGTGTAAACTTAGTAGAATTAAATTTTTTATGTTTTTCTTTATAAAATAATTGGATGTAAGGAGTACAAGACATGATCACCTAGGGAAAATGTTTAAATTACGCCCTATCATAGATCATTAATCAAATACTCTTCTCGAGAATATTTTTCTAATATTTAATATACCATCGGGCATATATCGACTCCGCCGAAAACGTCTTTTTACCTGTAAGAAATCTATGTATTGCACCGAATATTTTTATATATCGATTCCATACATATACACATATTCCATCTCTAGTAGGGGTCACCAACCTTTTCAAACAAGTGAGCTACATTTGTCATTTAAGTCCCTGGTCATCGACACCCAAGAGAATTTAGGTCTTTTAGGAAAATTTAGGAAAAAAAGATTATAATGTATTAAATATCTTAAATTGGGGAATAGTAAGTTCCTACACGAGAGAAGCAGGTAAGCAATTACATATGTTAGTTCCTACACGGCGGAAAAAATATGTAAATATGTATAAACGATGTATATACAAATAAATATATGATAAATATAATGATACAATATAATAAAAATCCCATAACGCATTTTCACGTATAAGTATATAATAATTAGATTTGTTATTGAAACTTTATACGTTGGTATAGCGTGGTATAGCTATTTAATACAACTATACATTCAAATATACTTAATTTAAAGCAAAACGTATACGAAATCACTGGAAAATACGACAAACTACAAGCTGATAATAGTATCCCGATTCCCAGACTCGATATATTTACGACTTTTCACCATCGATAAAAATGATACAGAACTTGATTTCGCTTTTTATATTAAGTATATTATGTTATTTTATTTGTGACAATGCGTAATGTAATTTTTTTTATATTTTGTAATATTCGTATATTTATTTGTGAAAATGCGTTTTGCGATTTTTATTATATTTTTTACTTGTTATATTATATTATATTCAATCGTGAAAAAGGAAAATGCGTTATGAGATTTTTATTATATGTATTGTATAATCATCATATATTTATTTGTATATACATCGTATATACATATTTACACCTTTTTCCGCCGTGTAGGAACTTACATATGTACCTGGTTTTTACCGTGTAGGAACTTAAATAGGTACCTTTTTCCACCGTGTAGGAACTAACGTATGTATTTTTTTTACCTGCTACTCTCGTGTAGGAACTGGCAATCGCCGAATTCCGTCCCGGGTTGCTGAAAATGACCGAATTCCATCCCGGAGGCGGAGCAACTATGTCCGAATTCCGTCCCGGGGGTGGATAAACTATGTCCGAATTCCGTCCCGACTAGTCTTGGACGGTATTAATATAAGTTCAATTTTATAGAACTTCAAGAGGCTTCACCTGACATCACGCGTATCGTTTTTTTGTATTATCACAATTATTCGCAATAAAAACGTAAACAATTTATATACTATGTATTGTGTATACCAAAGTCAGGTGTCGTCTAAGTTTTTACCAGCCTATTTCAAATCTAAAAAATAATAATTAAAAAAAAAATAATAATAATTTAAGTAATAAATAATTTAAATACTAATTACACATAACATATATTATACTTATACTCTTAAATTTATTAAAATACTTATATGACTGTCATATTTATACATAAATGGCATATACTGTAAGTGGAGTTTTTTTTTGCTCCGTATGTCAATAATAAATAAATAAGGATGTTTTGCCGGATTTTACATTTTTAAACATGTCAGCAAAGCTGCCAGTCCTAAGCCTGGAGAAAATGTGAAGGAAAATATTACTGCCAAATATATCATAGTTTCAGGTAGTAGGACGGAATTCAGACAGTTGCTCCGCCTCCGGGACGGAATTCGGTCTTCAGTTATGGAACCATAGGGGGGCCCGGGACGGAATTCGGTACCAGCCTAGGAACTTACATCCACCCCTTAAATTTACTCAAAATCAATTTCAATCGGGCTAGACAAAACATGTGGTCATCAATAGCACTTGAATTTGGTACTTGGTTTAGAGATATAACCCCTATGATTCCATCACACCCATGGTTCTATAAACAGTCTTTAATTAGGTCTCATATAGTTCAGTTTTCTAGACTTAGGTTCAAGACCGGATTTAGGGGAGTCCGAAACCCTCTCGAGTACCCAAGTGAAAGGGCCCAAACAATTTTAAGCCGATACACATTTTTTACCATACTAAAATTAGTAGTTTTATAGACATAAATTGTATATACCTATTAATTTTATTATTTTATAATGCAATTGAAAATTTGTGAAATAGTTAAAAAAAATGTATCGTTCTGTGAACGTACCGAGCAGCTTTGTAAAGCATGTTTTGTCAAAAAAGCCCATATAAAATTTCAGCCCCGGGGCCCAATAGTTGCTTAATCCGGCCTTGCTTAGGTTAGAACACAATTTATTTTCTGCTCTTGGCTTTAACCTTCTCTAAAATGATTCTTCTCTTTGCACACGTCATGCCAAGGAAGTCTTTTGAAAATTCTGGATTCTTAATTTGATTTTAATGTAATTAATAATTACAATAAAACAAAAAAAAAGTAATTACTCATTACTTTTTTTTTTTAGTTTTATTTACCTACTAAAATACGCATAACGTTTGTTCTTCGTTTAAAAATTAATTTGTTTTTCTTGATTCTTTATTTTCATTTATACCTATATAGTTAATATAATTTTAATTTTTCAGCTGTAATAATCATTTTAATATTGAAAGTTAATAATAAAATACATACAATACAAATGTATTTAAAACAGGGGACAGGATTTTGATCATGATTAATAAATTATTTTGTCCCCAATAGATTTTTTCCCAGTTACGCCACTGTATTCGCATAACTATTTATAACTCCTAATAACCTAGTAATTGTACATGACTATATGGAACGCTGAGAACGATATATGGATTAAAGTCCCCCTTGCTCTTTTTCGCCACTTTTAACCTTGGGTACATTAAGTATATAAAATAATAAATATACATAATACGTCAATTATTATAGATATTGGATGGTATATTATATAATTTATCTATTAACTACCTACATATATGGTGAACAAAAAAAAAAAAAAAAAAAATAAGTACAAAGCTCATAAGTATTACAATATAATATATTATTATATTATATAGATAAAAAATACAAATTAAACAATCTTTATTAATTTTAAAACATAACTTACATTACATACCATACATTTATATCGGCTAATATCGTGTAATTTTCATAACAAATTTTTTTTTTTTGAATAATAAACTTTTAATCGAGAAAATGTTCAAAAACCTTAATAATTATTACATATTATCATTTTTTAACCCAAACATTTAACTTACCTTCTTAATAAGAAATAAAATTTATTATATTTAACAAACTAATTTATAAAATTAAAAAATACTAATACTTTAAATATTTTGAGATCTATGCATTTCTTTAAGCACATTTTATCTGTTTTCATATTTTTAAATATTTCATAACACGTTTGGTCATTAAAAAAAAATATCAAAAACCTTAGCATTTTTGACACATTATCATATTTTACCCAAAATATTTTATTTACTTACTTAATAAGATATACAATTTAATATATATTTATAAAAGGAACAAATATCAACATTTTGATTATTTTTGAGATTTGTGTATTTCTTTAAGTAACTTTTGATCTGTTTTCAACATATTAAACATTTCATGACATGTTTCATGAAAGTTTGTATAAACCAGCATTACTGATTTTAATGAAGAAATGTCTAATTGGGATTTTTTAAAACACCAATATTTGTTAATTAGTGAAGATTCGTAAAACACCGATAAGGATGTATAATATTTTCCAATGATTTTTTCTATACAAATTAAAGCTGTCGATAATTTTACGAATTTAATAATTAGACGATGTTGAAACCAATTTCTATTTGGAATTAGTACATCATTTAAAATAAGTACTTTTTGGTGTACTTCAGCCATTTATTCAGGATAATACGACATGTCTTCAAAAAGAAGTAGTCCTTACAACATAAGTACGTCTGGTCACCATATAATACATATAACCTACATAGTATTTAGTTGTGAGCAAAAAAAACTCATAATTTATAAATCTTTTTAATTATTTTTTACAATGATGGTATTAAACATAAAGTGTCATCGTACATATTTATAACAAAATATTATGATTTATTTATTAATATTAATATAAAATATTAGTAAATAAATTTTTATAACTTAGTCCTTAAAGGAAGTCCTGTCAAATCGTGAGTTAATTAGTTCCGGAAACAAGTACTTCATGAAAATTTTTATTTAATCATAATTATGAATGACCTTAACACGTGTACCTATTCATACAATCAATAAATAAGCCAAACATATACCTACCTAAGTGATTACTTATAAGTTGTTACTATTAAACAGTTTATGATACAAAAAGCAGATTGGTATCCAGGTCTATTGAAAATCATTTTACGAGCAATTTTAAATAGATATTCGTCAAGCAGTATCGCTAATATCTTTGACTGATAGAGTGATAAGGTGTTACTGTTTGACAAAATCAACGCAAATCAATGCAAGTGTTGATCTAAAAATGTATTGTGCAACTCGAGATGCCACAGCAGTCAAGCCTGCAAAAATAATTATAATACATATTTTTGCAATAACATTTGAAAAACTGATAAGAAAAATGGCCCAAATCTATTATTTACAATTTTACAGTAGCAAGAAAAAAACAGTTTAATTCAGTCTATATTTACAATTTCATATTTTTTAAGAGAAAAGATTTCTTTATTAAGTTAAAAATAATTAGATTAATGGCTAAAAATAAAAATAAATTTGCCAAATTTTTATATAAATGGTTATAAAAGTTGGATTTTTGGGACTTTTTTGAAATCAAAACTTTATTTTATAGTATTTTCAAAAGATAACCATTTATTTATCATGAATATCTTAATGTATTGTTGTCAAACTACCTAATACACTTTTTACCTATAAAGTTCTGTAAATTTAGATTATTTAAAAATATATTCGTAACAGAATGACCCATGAAACTTAATAACTGAGGAAAGCAAAAATATTAATGTTTATAAATTACTTATTTTCCTAATAAACATTAATAGAAGGTTAGGTAATATTTAGTATTAATTAAACCATTAATAGACAAAATGTATATTTTATTTTATGATAAAATAAAGAAATTAAAATTTAGAATATGGATATACCTTTATCAGAATAATTTATTATAACTTTATATTAAAACTTATAACTTATAGTCTTAAACATTTAATAGACTTTTGGTTTCTTTTTATCATATTATAGTATGTTAAACTCAAACTTTATAACATAATTACTATTCAACAAGTGTAACAATATATAAAAATTAAATATTACAATCAAAAACAATAAATCCTTATTAAAAATATTAGCTTGAAATAACCAGTTGAAAATAACAATATAGAGGCAAGTAAATAAACATTTTATAAGTTATGTATTATATCTTCTCTATTCAAATTTATATAAAAATTAAATAATATTAAAAACAAAAAGCAGTCATCACAGTCATATTGATCATTAGCATTTAAATCGTTTACTTTTATAGACTTATAATAATAGCTTTGTTAGTTTTTAAATACTTTGTAATGCTTAGAATATTTTTGAGTTTTTTACTTTTAATACCTAATTTATCAATGTATATTGAAACTTTTGGTAATTTTATATTACTGGCTTTTGTTGTTGGTTTTAAAAGTTTGAATCCATTACAGATAAACCCATCAATAGTTATATGAGCTTCCATTGTATTTGTGTTATTAGAAAATGCATAACATTTATATTTTGATATTTGAAATACAAGATTTCTCATGTTGGTACAAGTCACTCTTTTTTTAAAATATTTTTCTAACATTGTTACATAATCCTTCATTAATAAACCAGGAAAATGAACAACTGTAAACTTCATATTAATCAATTCCACCCAGTCTTCAATAGTTTCTGCTCGTTCACATCTTCTTTATAACTTTTCAATTATTCCAAAATGTCTGTCACAGGGTAAGAAGCTATGACCCCTTTCTGGAAAGTAATGGGTTATAATTTCAAACTTGTTTTTTATTACAAGTGCTTGCCAGTATCTAAGTGTTGTGTTGTTTTGGTTCTGCTCTCTATAATTGTGAGTGAAAATGAATAACTTTTTAACTGTTGGTTTTAAAAATTAATTTATAAAGTGATTTAATACAGATATAACCTCATTTGCTCAAAGTCTAGCTTCTATTTCAGGCCAACAATACATAATGCTTTTACCAGTTTTGCCTGAATACATAGACACATAATATATAGCCAAAGTTGATGTTTTCATCAGATGTTTGCAAATATGGTAAAGGCATATTTTGTTTGAAAACAAAGCAAAGCACATCAACTTCATCATTTTTTTTTTAGCTATTTTTGTCATTTTGTCCAGTTTCATATAAAATTTTTTAGCTTTTCTTTTATGGACTTCTAACTTACGTATATGTTCTCTCTTCAGTGGTGATAATTTTTCCAACTCAATACTTGCTTCTAATTCACTACATGTCACACAAATGTCTTTTCTTAGAAGTCCAAACTTATAATTGTAATTTTTTTTAAAATGTCTTAAGAAAAAATGGTAACGTACATCACATTTCAAATTTGTAGGCTCCTCTCTTTGTATATCAATGAAAAATCGGCTGGATAGTATTTTTCTAAAAATGAAATACACATTTTTACAATATTTAGATATGCAGGCAAATACCTCATTCTTTCACCCTTGCGCCCATAGCGACTAATTTTGAATGGGAGAATATTAATATGATCATCAATATTTTGAATAACTTCATTAGACTTTGCATTGGCTCTGTTTAAATGTTTACCTCTGTTGTCAAAAGGGGATTTTGCTTCAGTATTTAACAGTCCTAAATGCCTTACACGTTTCATATCTATACCATGGAAACTTGCAAACCCTTCTCTACAAACAACTTTCGAAAATTCTCCTATATTAATCTACATTATAATAAAAGAAAAATCATATTATTAAACTATTTTAATTAGTAATATTTGTAGGGAAAAATTTGATTTAGTTTATTACTTCGTATGTGAAACAAAAATTCTTTTGACTTTTTGATCCTGCTTTACTTTTTTTTAACACTTTTAGGTTTAATGTGATCTTGTAAGAATGCATCTTGAGCCATTTTTGAACCCAATAAATTAAAGTTTTCAATCAATCCGTTTTTAACACTCGTAGATAAACTTTCTAGACACTTTCTGGAACACCTAACCAAAAATAATCCTTAGTAAATAATATTTAATGGATAAACTACTAATCAAAAATACAAAATTATAAAATATACCTGCAATCTGTACCAGTCTTACGAGATGGAATTAGTTTCCCATTTTTATTGACAAACTCATGACCCATAGCTTTGAACCGTTTTCGTTTATTGTCAATCCAATTATTTTCATTGCGATGTTTTTTTACTTTAATCATACTAATATAATATAATTTAATCATACTTAATAGCATTTATATTATTTTGATCCATAGTTAATTTTTTAAAAAATATTAACTATAAAATGTTATTCATTAACTTAAAATTACTAGATCAAAATAATATGATAATTCATAAATTCATTATAATGTTGTTGATAGCAACAGTTATTGATATAAATAATAAATTTACTATGTACTAAAATTTCATAGAAGAAGGGCCCAAAGAAGCAAATGGAACCTTTTTCTTCTCAACAAAATATATTATTGATTTTTCATAATGTTTCCGTATAAGTAATGGAACTTTTTTCATATCAATATGATCCTTTTTATTTCTAGAATTTTTTTGTGAGAAAAAACGTTTTTTTCAAAAACACGCAAATGGGCCATTTTTCTTAACAGTGTTTCATTTAACAATAATATAAAATAGTTGTTACGATGTATAATTATTAATATAAATGTATGTATCTATTTAATATGATAGTAGCTATTATAGTATTTAATATACATAAAGATTATAATTTTTTTATACAAATATAAAACAATAGAAAAAATTATCATACAATAGATGAAGAGTTACCAAATCTCGTTTGCCTAAGTCTGAACTAGATGGAAAAATTATTCTGGGTATGATTACACTATTCTATTTTATTTTCTTAAGGCTCGGTCAAACAGAACGCGGGCTGCCCGCTGCGGGTACTGTATTATCTTTGATTGTGTCATCGTGGTTAAAAATAGCGCGGGCTACCGCGGCGGACTGCTGTCGACCGCAGCGGGCAGCGGTCTAGTTGTAATAATTTAGTGATCGCGGCGGTCAAAAATTATTTGATTATAATATTATACACAATTTGTTTAATTTTAAATTTTAAATTTTTAATATTTAAATTTAAAATTATTCTTTTATTTATTTTATTAATTATAATATTATTATTAATATTATATAATATGGCAGATGAGACTGAAAAATTAATTGATCTTGTACATAACTATCCATATTTATATGATACCAGTCATTGTGAATACAAAAACATTGTGACAAAAGCAGAGAAATGGAATGAAATTGCCGGAATACTCAATATTTCAAGTAAGTAAAAATAGTTTACAAATTATAATTATTATCAAAATAACAAAGTAGAAAACGTTTGGTTTCAATTTTTCAGTAGTATATTAATTGAATAACAATATAATTATATTATTACTTCTTATACTTATACAATTATTACATATTAATAACTATAATTATTATTACTATTACTATTAGATACTATACTTATTAATTAACTAGAAAAACTATTTAGAAAAAAAAACTCAATAATAAATTTAGTTATGTAAATAATTGAAATAATTAAGGAAATTTTGTCTAACAGAAGTGGCTGCATACTAGATCTCTCTCTTATTCGTTGAGTGTTTGAAAATGCGTTATCCGCAGGCAAAATATTCTCTTCTTCTGACTCATCTGTGTTTGCAATTGTAGAGGTACTTCTAAGATAATTGTGTAAGCAACAAGCTGCCTTGACAACATGTTCTAGTATTTACATCCAACTCTATAGGTCTAAAAAAAACTCGCCACTTTTGAGTTAAAATACCAAAGGCATTTTCGACTACATGCCGTGCTCTACTAAGTCGCTTATTGAAAATTTTTTTTGCTTCGTCTTGTGCAACTACAGCTCTCGGAAAGGGGCGCATTAAAAAAGTTTCCAGTTTAAAACCTTCATCTCCGACGAAAACATGAGGGACAGGTGTGGTTGTTCCAGGTAAAGGTTTTGGTTGTAAAATAGTTTTGCCTCGTACGAACTCACGATAAAATGAGGAATTTTCAAAAATATTGCTATGACTATGACGGCTATAACTACCTATATCGACAATTAAAAACTTGTAGTCGGGATCTACTATTCCAAGCAAAACAATTGAAAAAAAATTTTTGTAACAAAAAAAATTTGACCCGGTCTTAGGAGGACATTTTATTCTAACGTGTTTTCCGTCTATGCTGCCAATACAGTTAGGAAAATTCCAACGCTCTCTGAATCCAATTTCTGATTGTTTTCGTACCTCTTCCGTAGGTGTAGCCAAATATAATAGTTGTAAAACATTCCATAGTTCTACACATACTTCTTTCACAATACTAGAGACAGTAGTGCGTCCGACTCTGAAAGAAAATGCTATGGTATGGTGCGAGTCTCCTGTTGCCAAATATCTGAAATAATAAATAAATAAATTAATTTCTCCAAGGGACGTTGAATGGGGGGTGGATGATCTGTCTCTAGTACAGTGATTAATAAAAATAATAAAGTATTTATATTTAAATTGTATTTATATGTAAATTGTATATAATATAATATAAATTGTATTTAAAATGTATTTATATATATATTTGAACTTTGTTTTAATTGACAGGTGAAGCTGTGAAGCTTAAATGGAAGAACCTGCGTGATTCGTATATTAAATACATTAAGTTTTTAAAGGGATCTACCGGATCTGCTAAGAAATACCAAAATTGGCCATGGGCAGCTCATTTAGAATTTTTAAAAGACACAGTAGTACTTAGAGCGACTACTTCAAATGTATCACAGACCCATGAAATATCACACGTAGATGAAACTTGTGAGCAGGATGAGACGGTAGATAACGAATTTATTGATACTTCACCATCTCAAATGCTACCAACTACAAAAATACTTAAAAGAAAAGAAGTTACAGGAGACGTCTATGCGGTAATAACATATCTTGAAAACAAAAAAAAAAGTAAAACTGATACAAAACCTGACCACATTGATAATCTGTTTTTGTCATATGCACATACTTTCAAAACATTTTCGCCAAGAACACAAGCCATTCTTAAAATGGAGATGTCGCAGTTGTTCGGACGAGCTGAACTCAACGAAGTTGACGCTTTAGGTTTTACTGAAATTAATCGTTGAATGTTCAGATTTTGAATATTTATGGACCGCAGTCTGTAAAACCTAGGATTTACCGGTATTCATACTTTTACTATATAAAATAAAATATATCAAAAAATAATTATTTAATTTAAAAATATGTTTATGTACATTTTTATATTGAAACTAATTAAATTAGATAACTTTATGATTTTGATGTCCAGAGTCTTGTTATCCCCTTAGCTTTCCTGGATCATAGTTCTCTAGTATAATGAGGAATTACTAATTCTTTATAATTTTGAAAAATGACTGAAATCTCTTACATATTTATCAAATCAAGAAAATTTTCTTTGTTAGATATATTTTTTTATATTATTAAAACATTTCAACTGTTATTTTTATCATTTTGCCAACTATTCAATATTTAAAAGTTAGTTTTTTTATCAGGAAGAAACAAAAAACATCAGTAGTCATAAAAATTTTAAAAAATATAAAGATTATAATTAATTATCTAATTGAAATAAGATCAAAATATAATAATTTCAGTGCCAAAAATTAAGTCTAATAACATCAAACATAATATCAATTCAGATAATCATTATACAAGGCAACCTACCATAGCATATAATTGAGTAATTTGAAATTAATACAAATAAAATTAATATTTGTTAAACATACTACCAATACATGAGTTAATAAATAATACAAATTATATTATTTTTTTAAAAAAAAGTAAATGCAGTACAAAATTTTCTTAGTCTTTAAGAGTGTATAATTTACCATTTATAGACTAAATATTACATTTCAAAAATTATCATGTATTAAAATTTAATTAGAAAATTTTTATATAAAAATACATAATAAATTGAATTCATTAATTATTAGTATTATTAGTTGTTGTAGACGAATCCACATTATTTGTTGAAGCATTTGTATCGACCTCCAATAATGAAGTTTTACCAATATTTGTTATGGGAATAGTATAAGGAAAGTAAGTGTCAGCCGCCTGAGGAGTATCTTCTTCATCTCCATATCGGACACGTACTACAAAATCAAAATCAATAGGAACGCATTTATCGCCATCCTGACAGATACTGGTTTGACATCTTAATATAACAACTTCTTCATCATCAGATTCATCTTCAGAAGAATCATCATATTCACTATCATAATCTTGGTGATACTTATCATTTCGTCGCCTGTTACTTCCACCATCATTAATTGTTGCATCATCACTATTTTCATTTTCATGTTCATTCAATTCTTGTTTTGGCACATGAATTAAATACTTAAAATCAGCAGCTGCTCCTACTGCTTGTATAGTAGTATTGGATTTAATTTCTTTTGATTCCCATGTTGAATCTAGACAATATAGAAATAGGTAATTAAAGAAAATTTAACTTAATTTAAATGGTAAATATATGATTGGTTTAATTAAATTTAAATACTTTTCAAGTTATTTTTTTAAAATTATTAATTTTAAATTATAAATTAATAAGAAAAATTATATTTTTTAAGATATTGATACACACAAATAAGCTTTTTATGTTGTATTAGTATTTATTAAAGATGGCGAAAGATGCCAATTTTAAAGATTGATAATTATGTATATATATAGATTACAATTATGGAATATAATTTATACACCATATACTTTATAAATAAAAAATAATAAATACCTGGTAATTGAAGAGTCCATTGTAAATGTGGTTGGTGATCTTCTATTGATCGAGATGATTCACTTGAAGATAAATTTCCCATCATAACGCGACCACGCAACATTAGTTGTCCACCTGTCCGTCTATTTAATCTGATTTGTGCTGTACCAACAACATTAGATGGTGCCGATTCTAAAATTTTTGGAAATTCCAATTGCAGCTATAGATAAACAAATAAACCAGAATTGAATAAAAGTAAAAATACAATAAAAATTTGTATGTATAAACAAATTGTATACCTTTTTTATAACATATGTATCGAAGTTGTATACCCAAATCGAATGATTATTTGTATCGGCGATAATTAATAAGCTTGATTCATCTTGTGGGTTTTCAATAAAATGTAATCCATTAGGTTCATTTAACTTTGAAAAAAAAAACTAATTATTTAAAATAATAATTTATTGATAAATAATACAGGTACTGAATAATTAATACTTAAAATTATATTTAAAAGTAAAATTAAAAAAACGATTTTTATAGACCAAAAATTTTTCGTTTAGTTGTTTAATACTATATGTTTTACCTATTTTCATCAATCAATTTCATAAATCATAACATGCGTTTAAAATTTAAATATTTGTTTAAAACAGTCTAATTTTTAAGTACAAAATAATATTGCAAATATTAACAATAAAATTCAAATCATTTTTATAAAAGTTTGTTGTGGCGACTTTTTCTAGTTATATTTTTTATAATTTCTTCAACAGATGCATCTATGTCACGGTGAATTTTTATTTATTGTGTTCCTCAGATAAGTTTTCATCGCCTACGAGTCGAAAACGATACTTAACTAGTTACAATAGTAACTTATAAAGAAGAAATTATGAATGACATGACAAGTAGTATGGGAATTATGGTCAATTACTATATTTTTTAAATAATTTCACTATGACTAAATGACTCTACTTTTCTCTATTAGATATAATTATTTTGACATAAATATAGCAGAGAAGGAATATTTTAACACTCAAAATATCTACCCTGACTACACTATTAAGAGATTTATTACAAAAACCTCTTTAATAAATTCAATAAATATTAATATTATATTCTTTTGAATACATTTTTATGTTATATTTAAAATTAGATAACTCAAATTATCAATGGATGTGTTGATTGATTTTTCAAATATATTTATTTATGATATAATATTATTAATTTATAATACAACATACCTTAACAGGTAAAGGCAATGTGTGCACCGAACCAGCAGTAGATCCAACAATACCTCCAGTAGTTGCATTTCCACCACCATTGTTATAGTGATTTTGTTTATGGCTTTCCAATCCCGTAACATATTTAATTTTATGATTGTATGAATCAGCTATATACAGTATGTTACGTTTATAATTCCATGCTACATCCATAGGATGCTGTAAACGTGAATTGGCACCAGCTCCACCATCAATGTCACCATAGCTAAATAAATCCTATAAAGTTAAACGTAATGAGTAGGGTAAGAAAATATTTACGCTAAAATGTAATAATTAAAATATAATACATTTACAATTAAAAAAAAAAAAAATTGAACATCTTTTTTATATTTCTTAGTTAACTATTTACCGACTAGTCTAATTTAACTAATATAACTGATAAAAATATCACTTAAAATTTGTTAGTTTAATACAAAAAATAATGTTTTTATTAGTATCATTAGTACAAATAAAATATCATGATTTATGTTCAAAACATAATTTAATCATGGTGAACAACAATGAAAAAATAAAATGTAGAAGAATAGACCATAATTGTCATGATTTGCAATTAAAATCTATCTATATTAAATTATACAATTATATAATTGAGTTATAAACTAAATTTTAAACAAATATTAATTGTAAAAAGCTTACAGTAGGGTCAGGACTTCCACCAGCCACGTTTAACACTCTATATTTTCCTGCTAAATCTAAGTACATTCTCCTGATTGAAGAACTTTCGCTATCTGCAATATATAAAGATGGATCGGATCCACCAGGTCCAGATCCAGAACGATATAATGGTTTACTTAAACACAACCCAGAGGGTTGAGCGAATGAAGCACGTTGTCCATTGTAATAATTATTTCTATTTTCTTCTTTACCAGTTCCTGCTATCATGGTACATAGTCCTTTAGAACACCATCTAAATTAGATATAATATAATATAAATTATCATATGTAATATTAATTATAATTCATAATTTTAATTATTTTCAATTTTATTAAAATTAAAATATTTTTAAAATTAAAACAAATAATTTAAAATCGCAAATTTTTATTATTTTTATTATTAACTAAAGATAATAATAAACTCATAATAAAAAATAATCGGTGAATATATTTAAACTGCTATCTATTGTATATATTAAATATTAAATAAATGTTGATTATAGAATAAATAAAATTCACAAATTTATAAATTACACAATAAATAAATTTTTTTTTTTTTTATTGGAAAATTAATACGACTTAAATTTTTTATATCTTTTAAATATAATAATTAAGTAATTTCTAGACAAAACAATTTCAAAAAATATAGAAAATATAGTGATAGGTTTATAATTGAAATATTTTAGTTTAGAAAAAAAAATAAAAAATTGTTATCATTTTTTTTTTAAATTCAGTAAAATCAATATCAAATATATAATGATTGAAAATAATACAATATATTTTATAATAATAAAACTCTTACTTAGATTTCATACTTGAGCAAGTACTAGTACTTGTCTTGTCTAAATAAAGTGCCCATATTTGATGTAAACCAGCCATAGCAATTAACAAACAGCGCACTGGTGCTGGATTTGGAACGGGAGTTGACTGTTGCTGTTGTTGTGAAGTTTGATGAGGTGTGTATGGCTGTGGCGTATATTGTTGTTGAAGCTGTGGACGAGTTTTGCGTTTATAATATACAACATCCCAAGGAGTATTTAAGATTTGAGAATTCCACATTTGACCACCATATCTATCTCGACCTTTTTTACCATTACCAGCCACAGTCTTAACACATTTTGTTTTTAAATCAATCTGTAAAATAACTCATTTATGTAATAAAATAATTAAATATCAATTGAATGTAATGAAATATAATTTTTTTTTATCATTCTTTTTAACACTTCTTTATTCAACATAAAATTATGAAAAATGTACTTACCATACGTATAGCATGATTTTCAGTATCACAAACAAACAGAATATGAGAATTTTGAAAACATATTCCTTGAGGACTATGAAATAAAGCTTCTGTGAAACGTCCATCTTTAAATCCTTTTTTTGTAGTGGAAGGTGAAAGTCCGATACCACCTCCACCAATTACATGCTGTAAATAATATGTAACACTTTTATATATTTTAATGCTTACTAAAACATGCAATAAGATACTTATAATACTTTAAATAAAGAATTACCTTTACTCGACCCTGCAGAGTACAAATTATTATTCTATGGTGCCCACTGTCAGCAATTGCTAACATTATTTTTCCATTATGTCGGTAATTAATATTTTTTTCATTTTCATTATCATCGTTCTTCCTTTTCTTCAGTTTTTTTGTGTATGCAAATACCTTACCAGGATAGAGAAGATGTTGCTTTATAGGAGATGGTTGTATACTAGGAGGCAATGATTGTGCTAAAGTGTTACGTCCAGGAATGATTTCTGGTATATCATGTGAACTAATCATAGAGGCTTGACGTAGAATTTGTAAAGCTGTTTCAATAAAAGTTGGTAATAATTGTGAATGAAATTCTTCACCCTGAATCATAAGCATAGGTTCACCATTAGGTCCTATAGAAAAAAATGTATAGTTATTAATTACCTTAAAAATGCAATTTTCAAATAATTCATTTTTATTGCACCTATGCAAATAAGCAAAGTAAATAAGTACATTTCCTTAAAATTTCAAATTATTTGGTATGGCATTTTTGGACATATGCTAATTAATCTGTGAGTGAGTAGTATTTGAATTATAAAAACAAAACTATGTACCAATAATGTAAAAAAAAAAAAAAATTAAAAAAAGGAGATTAAACAAATCAGTTTATATTTTTAAGTATGGTTGATATAGTAACAGATAATATTTTTTAATAAAGTACTTTTAATATCTTTACTTTTGCAAAAAATAAAAAATTAATCTATAATATGGAAAAATAGAAAATACCAAGTTCGTAATGAAATTTCTATAAGATATAATTAAAGACCGAATTTTGCATAAAATGCATCTTGGTATTTTCAACATAATATAAATGCAGTCAATGAGTGTCCACAAATTTTAACTTGATTGATTAAATATCGAAATTTTATACTGCATATTTTAGCATATACTGACATTAGTGCATGTTCTGCATATTTTAATAAAAATACTGTACAAATATACACCTAACAATCCAAAAAGGTGTTGAGTAAAAAAAACTGATTATATGTAGGTATGTTAGTTATACGTAGGTTACTAAACTTCCATAGGTTGGTTGTACGAGTTTTATAGTGGAGACGTGGCTTTACCTATTTTATCTAATCTTGTAGATAAAATACCCAAAACAACATAAATAGGTACATTATTATAATCACTGCTACATTTATACAATTGTTGGTAAGAATTACTTTTAGCCTAGTTAACCCGTCAGTGCTGAGCATCTTCATTTAAATACATAAGTATAGCTTTTTTTACAACTTGTTTGGAGAAATTTGTATTGATATTTTTCATGTATTAATAATACATGAGTTAGTATGTTATCTCCTCTTCATTTTTATATAATATTTAGCAGTCAATTCATAAACAGTGTCTATTGACGATGTATTATTTTAACCAATATTTTAAAATGAGCGATTTTTTTTATTTTTCTGGTATTCATCTAAAGCAAGTATAAACTGTTATTATTAATAAATGTGTGATCAAATATTTAATTATAATCTTATAAGTTCTTAAAAACATTTATTTGGATATTTTTTCAATTTGTTATATCTATAATTTCTATAATTTAACAAATTACATTTCCGTATTACATATTTGTATCTTACTTTTTTCTTTTGAAAATTGTAATAAAATAAATAATTACCATTGCAAAATTAAAATAAAATATAAAATTTAATAAAAATTGAAATTTTATTTTGTACTTTTTTCTTGCATATTTTGACTTTTTTTAGTGCATTTGTGTATGCATATTTTATAATTTAAAATGCATATAAATCTGGTCTTTAGATATAAGTTTGAGTGTAAGTGTGAGTTTTTTAGGTTGTCATGATCGACCAAAAAAAAAAAAAAAAAGGTTGTCACTGTGTAAAAATATATTTTATATACATGCATGTTAACCTTTCTAAAATTTTGTATTTAAAATATTAATAAATAATAATAAATTTTAAAATTGTAACTTGACATAACACATATTTTAATATAATTATATACAATATTATAATTTATGTTTATTTTTCTAATTAATCCATACACAAACATACACAAACTCCCACATTTATTATATATATACATGGTACTAAAGTGAGTTCAATAAATGGTTACTACAACACTATTTTTCTTCACTAGTTGTTAACAATATATTCCTTTTTATTTTTAACTTATTTCAAAAATTATAATTACCAATAAGAACTAAAGTAGGCCAACAACACACAGCTAAATCATTCCACATAGTACCATCTGTATCATTCACAACACAATGTTCAATTGAATATTTTTCAATTGCATGCTGTACATTTACAGATTGTTGTTCATTTGGAAATTTTGCACTGTGCACTCCAACCTAAACATGTAAATTAGATTGATTATAAGTTTTTATATATAACACACAAACAATTTATAAACATTAAAGGTATTAGATATGTATTATTTACCTCATATGAGGTATCATTTATAAATTAAATAAAATCATTTAGCTAATAAAAATAATGGCTACTTCAAATAAATATTATGTTAGCAAAATAAAAAAAATCAGAAATTTTTGAAAAAATGGTAACTATTCCTAATACATTTCTTGGAACTAATTATAAAATGGTAAATGAATAGTTGAAAAAAAACCAAAAACAATAGGTGAATCTTTAATTTTCCCAGCCTATTCAGAAATAGTACGTATTATGTTTAGTAGTGAGGCTGAAGCGGAAATACAAAAAATACTCCTTTCCAATAATACTATTTGTAGATGCATTCAGAAGATGTAGAACAAAAATATTGAAGAAAAATTTAATGTTCAAATGGTTTTTGTTTTTAAATTCATGAATCTAAGGATAAAAGTGATAAACATTATTTAATTGGGTTTATTTGTTCTATTAAAAATGACAGTACAATTGTATGGGGCATGATATTATATTGAATTGAATCTTAGGCAATAATGAAAGTGGAACAAAAAAAAAAAAAAAAAAAAATAGAGGATATAGAGGGAATATCATGGCGTTTAATAGGAAGAAACGAGTGGAGTGATTTGGACACACTTGGAGAGTTAATGGAAAAACCAATAAAAAAAGTAACTATAGGAAAAATGAACAAAAAAAGGCTTAGTAAGACTTTGATGGATTGATGTAAAAACCAGAGACAAGAAAGAGATAGATCAGAATGTAACCTTTTTACAGACTTGTAACAGAGATTTACGGCAAGACACTTTGAAGGCAGCAATGATTCTCAATGAACCAGTAAGCTGAGAAGAAGATATAGAAGTGGTATAAAACTATAGAGCAGTTGATAATATTTTTTGACTCTTGAATCATATTCAACAAATTAATATGGGTTCACGGGCCAGACAAAAATTTTTTTTATGATATTCAATGAAATTTCCTAGTTTTGAAATTTAATGCGGGTTGTATAAAAGAGATGTGTTTCTCAACTTATGAGTCGCCACTGGCAATATGAAAATAATTTTAGCCATAAATTTATAAATGCTTAAGTTATGTTTTATTTGATTCCTTTATGTATAACAATAATGTGAAGTTTTGCTAGTATTGTAGATTTTACAATGTAGAATATAGGACATAGATAGCAATATATTTAGAATAATTTTTGTATTTTTATTGCTACATATATTAATGACTGTTATAGTGGTATCGGTTGATTGTCCATACAGTTGAGCAGTAAGTAGTACGTCAAGAGTACTAGAGTAGGTAAAAACGAAAAGTTTTAGTTTACAATTAGATACTAATTTTTAAACACTCAAATTTTATGTATGAAGTTTTGATTTTTTTAATGGCTAAATTTACAAAAACCACAGCTGATGGTACCAGTCAATCAGTTCAGTACTATGATTATTAATAATACTATATTATCACATATTTTTATTTTTTTATTTTAGTGTTGGTGGGGATGGGTCGGGTTATTAACGAACAGTAAATTTGTGGGTTGCCATTACAAAAAGGTTGGGAAACACTGCTATAAAGTTAGGGTACCTCCCGATTTTTAAAAAATATCTGAGAACCTAAAGTTAAAGGTTAAGGTCATACATTTAAAAAAAGTTTAAGTTTGCAATGTGTTTGGTAGGAAAAATAAAGTAAGGATGAACTAAACACATATTTGGTGGAGGGGTTATAACCCTAAATCACTTCTAACTAGTTGCACCACTGTGCTGAACACTTATATAATATTTAATAATACAATATTAAATTTAGTAAAGCAAGAGCAATGGTGAACGCTTTACTCGGCATTCATAGTGAAAAAGTTAATATAAATGTTCATAATACTTTTTTTAACAATTAACATTTTTATTGTTTTATTAAGAAAAATTGAATATATACAATCTGTATAAAATTATATTATAAATAATAATAATAATATTTATAAATAATATGTAATACTATATTTATATTTTATATAATATTTAAAACTTTTATACTTTAAAATTCATAAGAATAATCATAATATATGTAATATAATAAAATATTAATATAAAAGTTTACCACAACGTTCCTACAACTATAATTGATTTTTGTTATGACCCATTGGACATTGCCTAAAAATAGCGCTCAACAACAATCAAATCTCTGAAATGTGTATCTTATCACTAGGGAACGGATTTATATGTAATAATAATACATAAATATGTACATATATATGTAAATATAATTTATAAAATATGTACTAAAACCATCCAAATATGTAGGAAAAAAATTTAAAAAAAAAAAAAATTATAATTATTAAATTATCAAAATGATTTGTTGCATTGAATTATTACAATATATTTTAAATTATCAAATATTAAATGTCGCCTATTAAATCTGAAAATATTTTTAAAACGGCTAAATGATCGTTCCACATCAACCTACATCGGTTGATTTAAGCATATTTGAAGGGCATAATATTAGAAGGCGATAATTCCAAATTTTTAGAAGGGTGTCTGCCACTAATTATGTCATTAGTTGATTTAAAATCAATATGGCCTGAAATTTTTTCTGTAAAAACATGAATTTTCTTTTTTACTACTTCTCCTATTGGTCCGTTTACGAATTTTCATTTTGCAATCGTTGATTCGACAATTTGCATACTTTCATTCAAGGACATATTTTTGTTTCTAATTTTGTAATTGTATGTGCAATAAAACTAAAATTCACTTAGATGAAAATTAAATTTGTTTTCAATGTTTCATTTTGCATAATATTTTGAGCTTTTCTAATAGCGATAAAAGTTCTGGATCTAAATTTGAAATAATTTTTTGTATTTTTGTACGAAAAAGACGTATGAATGATGAAATAATAAAATATGTTAAAAAATATTAACAAATTAGTGAAATATGTAAAAATATGTAATTATACCAAAATATGTAAAAATATGTAAAATAAAAGTAGCATCATATTAATAGGAATGATTTAAATCATGAACATTTCTTATCAAATTTTAAATATCTCGTTTTAATAAAAATATGTATTTACATATAAATCCGTTCCCTACTTATCACTAACCATCAATCAATTATAGGGATCACGATCTTTTGTTAATTTTAATATAGTTATATTTCATAATTTAAAAACATAAAATTAATGATATTTCACAATAATTATTATAGATTGACACTCTCTATCACTCCCCCTTAGTTGTGTAAAGAACAGATATTTTAGAAAAATAGAAAAATATGGAATTAATACTTCTCAATATTGTTATAAATACTTGTATTGTAATACGTACATCAAATAATTGAATTATACATGTCAGTAGCGGATCCACGGGAGGGGTTTTGGGGGTTAACCCCCCCCAACATCACGAAAAATATATATTAAAAATCAATAATTTTATGAATGAAGAAAAAGATTTTTTTTTTTTAAAAGTATAAGGAAAAGTATATACATTTTTTTTTTATTCGTACAAGAAGTAAGTTGTCTTAGATTTAAATAAATGTATTATACTGCTGACTATTATCATAATTAAATTATTTCATACACTTAAATAAAATTTTACAATAAAATTAAAAGTTTTGAATTAAATTTTTCTTGTTTTTTTGAAAAATTCTTCAAAAACCTCATCAACTGATACATTAATATCTTTATGAATATTCATAGAAGCTAGACCATTGAGCCTTTCTTGACCTGTTGTATTTCGCAGATTTGATTCTTTTTAAACATGAGAAACTTCGTTCAGGCGTAGCTATTGAAACGGGCAAGATTGCCATTATACGTAAAATTTTGAAAACATTGCCAAAAGACGAATGTGCACTACTGCATTAAAAAGTAAAAACCCTTGATCAGTCACTGACCGCAATATTATAAATAATATCCCAAGTGCCAAAGAAAACAATTTTCAAAACCCCCCCCCCCCCATAAAAAAATCCTGGATCTGCCTCTGATACATGTACATAGTTTTATTATAGAGTTACCCAAACTAGGAAATATATTAGATACAGACTAATTTAAACTGCTATAATTGTCTTTTAAGCTTGAAATCAATACGTAGTTGCTTTTGAAAAAACAATTATGAGTGAAGAAAATATAATTTTATACTTTTAAATATGATTGATATAGTAGAACCAAATTTCTTAAAGAGATATATTTATATTTTAATATACAAAGAAAATCTTATGAAAGTAAGTCTAGTATTCAGATTTGAGACCTCAAGTATAAAAATCGAAAATGTTTAGATTCTTCATTAGAAAAATATAGCAGATTTATATAATAAAGTAGTATAAATATTTTTATTGTTCAAAGAAAATTTAAGAACACATACAATATAATAATACTAAAATATTAAATAAGGTTAATACAATTTGTACTTACAATCACCAAACCATCTTTATGTGTAAATTGTTGTTGTAATTTATGAAGAACAGGTAAAATGTGTAAGCAATTAACACAGCAGTAAGTAAAAAAATCTAGTAGAACGAGTTTACCTTTAAGGTCTTTATTAAATAATAATGGTTTCGTGCAGTTGAACCAATCAAGATCTATAGAGCAAAAGAAAAATGTTTCAGTAAGACTGTGTGACTAAGTTGACAATAATAATTGTTACTTACTGGGTTTGAACTCATTGACACGCAGCCCAGAAGAACCAACGGCAGGTCCACTTTGAAATCCAGAAATGCCAGCGCCCTGTTGACTGCAACACGCAGTCAATATTTTCTGAATATAGTCTTCGGTTAATTCTTGCAATTGTACCGGAATAGGCGATTCGGTAGGTTCGTCAGCGGTAGCAGGACTGCCAGCCGAGCTGTTGAACAGATCAACGAACACCGAAGATATCTCAATAATCCTGTCCATTATCAAGACGACGGTGTGCACGAAAAGCTATCTGAAAAATATGTCAAACATTCGTTATTGTTAAAACACGTCGTCGAACGAAAACCATTATATCGACAAGCGGGTAAGGTTAGACTCACGAAGCGAGCTGGAGCACGGCGTCGTTGTCGTCGTAGTAGTTGCCAGTACCCGTACCGGACACGAAGTCCTCGGGGAGTATAGTTCTGACGAGAAGTGAACGGCGGCGACAAAAGGTTAGAGCGTATCGGTAAATAATCGCTTTTCGTCGCGTGTGGTAAACAATTAACAGCACAGGAGTACACAACATACAACGTCGTGGTCGTGCTTGATGTTCTCGGTCAACATATCGTGCAAGTGATAAGAGCGCATAATCACGACCGGTACACGAGTCGGAGGGCGGGGCTGGTATCGGTTTCCGGGGCACACCGCGGTATCAAGTCAGCGGCGTTCCGTTTTGTTTTGACAAACCCAGTAGCAAGTCGTACATCGTAAGTGCTATCTTACGACGGCACGAGTGTTTCCATTACTGTCCACGGAATCCGTGCGCGATTTCCATCGTTCGATCAATTTATTATTCGATTTCTCTCGCTAAAACCACCCTCCCCCTTCACCCGTAATTTTCATCGCGTGGGCGCACTACCGGCTGGTAACCTAGAAAATTATACCAAGTGTTTGGCCGCGGCAGACCGTATAGATAGTGCCAGTGGTGAACAACCCAATGTTTACGCGCGGACAATTTTGAAACACGTACATACGTCCACGACACACGCCGCCCGTTTATAACTAAAAATATTAAACATTTTAAGTATTAAGTACGGTTACAACTATACTTAACTCGGAATGTTCATCAAGCCATTTCTTATAGTGGACCTTCAACTGTACATTATATTAATATAATAGAATTAATTTTTTTTTTAACAGTTTAACAGCTATTCATATTCTTATCGGTTTTATGAATAGCATCGACACAGCCATTTTATATCAGCTTACCGCATTTACATATTTAAAATTCACATATCGCTTGAAAAAATCCTTCTTTTTTTATTTATTAAAAATAATATGTAAGTATTTTATACGTATGGAGTCGTTTATTTTTCTAAAATTAAATTATTAATGAAATATAAGAATTTAATGCACAAAAATTCAATGAAATATGTCTAGTTATTATATTTATTATAATTATTAATAATGATTAAGAATGATCATGTTGATAACTTTAAATCATAAGTCGACTTTTATGTTCAAATTGTTTCTATGCGTAATTTCCATGTGTAATATGTAGGAAAATGTTTTTGACCACAGATATTCAAAAAACAAAAAAAACATTAGAAATTGAAGAGCTTGTATAGACAAGGTAGATTATCCTTTATAAATTTTCAGCCAAATATTTTTCGTTTTACTAAATTTGAATCTAACTGTAATAGGATAGACCGTATTAAAAAAATTATTTTCTATGAAAAATAATAAAGTACAGCATTTTTAATTTTTTTTTCCTAAACTACCTAACAATATGTAGTTCTTTAAATATGTTTATTAAATGCAATTGCAAGTTTTAAGGGAGGAGGTCAATCGTCCCCTTTGGATAACAATATAATTAATAAGGTTAAGCTAGTCAGGTTTTTCAGATTATTGTCAAATTTATAGACTTTTTAGTGTATTTTATATCCCAATAAATTTAAACTATTTAAATTATGAAATAAAAAAAAGAAAATAATTGCCTAAAAAATAAATTAGTTGTTAATTATCTAGAAATTTACCTATATATTTATCAGAATGTGGTTGTTGAAAAATGTGATTTGTTTTAAAATAAGTGACCAACGTTCATTTAACAGAGTAAATACACACCATTTAAGCTGAAAATATCTTATCTTTTTGATTTTTACTAAAATGTGTAAAAACTTAGTGTACTGTAATCATTATAATGACAACTCTGTCGTGAAAACTTTTGCTGATTTACAAATGTTAAAAAAAATGTATAACAGAAAATTGATAATTATTAATCTTGAAGAACATAAACAATTTACAAAAATTGTTGTGTTTGGTAATTAAATGAAATAAAATGGAAGTCAACTTATTACATATATTTGTATGTAAGGATAATTATTATGGCACTTGTTGGTTGTTACACAATACGTTTTATTAACATCATTCAAATATTTCTTGTAATATATCTTTCTTACACAGACAATCAAGTTTCAAAAGCCCTTGACTGTCAAACAGCAATGGCACATAATATGTTATATCATATTATGGTCTCACTACAAACTAAAGCCACTGAAAGTTTGAGCAACTTTATTCGTATTTTTCGATCGTTTGTATTCGAATTTCAGCCCTGAACATTTCGGTGTAATGCACGAAGTACGTTAATGATAAAAAAAAAAATTACATAAACAAATAAATGTTTGCACCTTTGATATTGGACGTATAATCAATACATTATTGTGTTCGATGCAGATGCGTAATAAAATGTTCAGAAACCTCAGTGATACGATATCCAATTGCATTATTTATTATTTATTTTTTTTTTCAATTAGAGATCAAATGGAAACTTCTGTACGAATAATCTTTTTTATCTGACTAAAAATATGGTTTAAACATTTTCACAAACCTCTTTACTTGACTAGTAAATGACTTGTGATGTCTTATAAAGAAAACGTGAGCTGCATGTCCCCAGCCCCCCCCACTACTTCGGACTTTCGAGTTCAAATTTTTACAGTCGTTTGAGTTTCGTTTGTGCTTGTTTGTGCTTTTATTCCCATCGTTCGTGTTTAACCCGTTTCCGAGTTATCGAACTTTCAAGGTGGGGAGGCTGGGGACATGCTCAGCCCCCCCCCACTATCTCGGACTTTCGAGTTCAAATTTTTACAGTCGTTTATATTTATTTTTGCTTTTATTCCCGTCGTTTGTGCTTAACCCATTTCCGAGATGTTAAACATTGAAGGAGGGAGGGGCCTAAGGACTTAGCCTCCCCACTAACCAATTATTCTTATTGATCTGTTCGTTTATTCCACGTTTGTGCAGATTTGTGATCAAATTTCAGCAGAAAATTCTGATTTACTTGGGATTTTTTTTATAATGACCCACTTTATTTTTTTTTTTTTAATTAATTTGCGTACAAAAATTTAAATATTTGATATTTTTACGTGTATTTTAAAACAATAAGAGCTCTTCTCACCAAAACCCCGAAGTGGTATAATAATTATTGATGAATTTTCATTTTGAAAAAACTTCTATGATAATATCATAACACGTTTTTAAAATTGTATGAAACCTTTTTTATTTTGTCATTTTTAAATTTGGATTGACTTTTAAGCGACCATTTTATCCGGCCACGGAATTTTAGATCTGGCAGGCTACTGCGAATTCGCACTGAAACTTATGCATACCTACGTGTCTAACCGTAAACACAGTTTGTAAACAATACTTTTGAAAAAGTATTAAGATACTAATAATAGTATTCGAATAAAAAAGTATTAAAAATACTTTTAAAATACTATTATAAAAATGTATTTTATGAATACTTACAAAGTATTTGAATACAAATCCAAGTATTTTTTTTAATTTTATGCTATATTATATATATATGTATTGTACACCAGTATAGGTAACTATTATGTTACTACTTTCCATGAATCTTAACAATTATTATAACATGTCTGACTATTTAAAGATAAATACATGTTCACATATTTCATTCTGCATTCACATATATTTTAACTAATAATGATTAAATTTCAATGAAAAAAATATAATAAAAATTGGTAATATTACTATTAATATGGAACTATTTTAAATTTATTAGATTTTCAGTTTTCTTAAAAAATTTCAAAACAGAAACTATATAAAATGTAATGAGGTATTTAGTGTGGTAACATTGCTATTACCTACCTACTTTTACTATACAAAAACATAATATTAGTTTTCAACAAAATCGATTTTTTTTTTTTTAAATAATAAATTAAAATTAATAAAATACTTTATGATATTTTAATACAAGTATTTAAATTTTAGTAAAAATACAATTAAGAAATAATCAAAATACTTAAAAAATAAAAAAAATAAATTGTATTCAGAATAGCATATAAATACTTCAAAAAGTATTCGAATACTTTACAAGACTGGTGTCTATTTAGCAAAAAGTTAAAACGTTATAATTTATAATAGTAAATAACACATGGTTGCGGACCATGTACAAAATTTAAAACAAATTTTACATTTGGAAAACATTTTTTCATTGAACCTGTTTTCCAAAGTCTTGAGTTGGGAAAAAAAATTAGACTTTGAATTACCTGTCGTTTTGAGTGACATTCCAACAACAATAAATGTGCTACATAACAAATTCACACTCAGAGGTATTATTAATTTCATAATACCAAAATCCAAAAACATTAATGCAATTGGGCATTATGTATCATACAATTGAACGGCTGAGTAGAAAAAGGATAATATTCCAAAAATACGAAAAATAAACTGAGATAGCTATTTTGTAGTTGAATGTAGATTTCATTTAATGAACGTATGAAGGATAATATTCCATTGAAATTACGTGTATGAATTTAGCCTTGAATGTACGCTGAGTGGAAAAAAGATAATATTCCAGGAATATTCCAGGAATATTATCTTTTTTCCACTCATTGTGACGTTAGTTAGAATGTTTGGTTTATTTTCGTCTATTTTTAGTAAAACGACGACAACCACAACAATCGTAAGATAGTTTTCGATAATAATATTATTATCGAATGTTATTATCTTAATAACGAAAACGAATATAATATTATCATTCGACACGCAGTTGTCATAAATACGATTAGTGCTATTTCGCAAACGAATTTATTTTTCTTCGTATGACGTAAAGTAATAAATTAATACGTTTTTAAAGTGTGCCATAATAGTTATTTGCAAAATGTCATCCGATTCTGAAGGAAGTATTACTGAACCAAGAAGAAAACGTGGCAAGCTTAATAAATCCCAGCACATCAAAGAAATAGAAAAATCGGCCAGACAAAGAGGAGAAGAATTTGTTACAAGTAAAGGTAATCTAATAGAGGCTAGAGTAACAGGTCCAAATTGTGACTGTCGTAAAAAATGTATGATTAACTTAACCGTAGAAGAAAAAACTTCTATAATTAGCGCAGTTTATAGTGGTCGTCCTAAAAATGAAAGGGATACGTATCTTTTGGGGCTTATAGATAGATTTGACGTGTATAGACATCGAGCTTTGTCGTCCGAATCAAAGCAAAACACGTCTTCTTTTAAATACTATGCTATAAAAAATGCTAGTCGTGTTGAAGTCTGTCGTAAAGCATTCATGAGTCTCCATTCAATATCAAATAAAGTTATTCAACGTTTGAATAGATTACGTGAAACCAATCAGTCACCAGTTGATATGAGAGGAAAACATAAAAACCAATTATTGGAGGGAAACTAATATTACATGGAAACGATGTGATGACCAACTGCATTCCACACGATACGTAAGAGCATCCACAAATGTTAACAGTCAATTCATACTGTACACTAAATAAAAAAGTATTAGGTTACTAATGTTAGTATATTTGTTTAATTTGAATAAGTCAAAAAGCATTTTAAATAATGTATTTTAAATAATTAATTTATGTTTTAATTTAAAATTTTATTCAAAAACTTAAAAACTGTAATGTGTCATTTATTTTTTAATTAAAATGTTCATACGTTTTAATTTTTACGTAAATAACTATTATAATATCTGTTTTTTTTTTAAATGTTTGTAATTTATGTTAAAATGTTCTTATACCTATATCAAATTTGTTATTATTAGTAAAATATTTTTTGTAATTTTAATTTAAAACTTTTATAAAATGTTACATATATATACTTTCATATTTATTGTAGAATTACTTTATATTTCAAGAAATCAATAAATGATTACATTTTTATTAAATGTATACCTAAGAAAATTTGTCATATGAAAAATATTTTATTATATAAATATATGCTGTGTAAAAAGCTAATGATATAATAATAATTGTTTGAATGTTATTTAATTTAAAAAAGGTGATTGGCATTTATAAATTGGAAAATAGATATCCTTCAATAATGAACGTATTGTTTTGGTTTTCTCAAATATAAACAAAGAGAAAAGGTCTTATTATTTTGTATGCAAATTCATTTTTAAAAAAATTATGTTGGTCATTACTTAAAGTATGAAAAAAAAAACCCAAGTAAATCAGAATTTTCTGTCGAAATTTGATCACAAATCTGCACAAACTTGGAATAAACGAACAGGTCGATAATAAATAAAAAATTGGTTACTTACATATACTAAGTTTACTTTATAAAATGTGTTGATAAAACAATATACACAAAAAGTGTGTTTAAATATATTTTGAATTTATTAAGCATGTCCTTAGGCCCCTCCCTCCTTCAATGTTTAACATCTCGGAAATGGGTTAAGCACAAACGACGGGAATAAAAGCAAAAACAAGCATAAACGACTGTAAAAATTTGAACTCGAAAGTCCGAGGTAGTGGGGGCTGGGGACATGCAGCTGAAAACGTGAACCAAATACTGTCAAATCTCGTATACCTACTTATATTTCAAGTATAGTGTATTATTCAATAAGTATAATAATATAATGTGTATGAAACAATGTGACTGATTTATAGATATATTTTATTGTAACCTAAAATTATTATTATTGCTTTTAATTAATAATTCAATAAAAACTCGGCTTCCATTAAGACATGTATACAAAAAATACAAATATGAGTCATATATCTAGTTAAAATTATATGGTTAGAAGATTTTGATTTTAAATTATTTTTTTTTTTAGATTGTCTTATTAATGTTATTTTAGATATAAATCAGTTTACTGATGTTTGCATTAAAAATACCAACATTTATTTATTTTGCATACATTTGCATATTTTTTCAATTTTAATTTATAAGTGCATATTTTGGTTTTTTTTCTGATTTTTTTATACAGGTAAGCATTTGCCATGCTTCCATTTAAAACATCTATAGAAAAAACCATTATTTAATACTTTGACCAAATCTGAATTTGATTATCTATATTATCGTATAGAGATGGTTTACAAATCACTTTTTTATGTCGGTAAATCGATATAGTCTATGTATTTTTTAATTTAATAGAGATAAATCGTGAAGGAGTTCCCACTATCTTATTTAGTATTTTTAGTTATAACTATCTCATTAAGAATTTGTAGATAACAATATGTGTATGATGGAAACTATCAACTTCTGTAGGAGTTTATCAGTTCTTCATTCGGAATCCATTGACTAGTGGCCCAGTCCCCAAGGGCAGCAAGGCAATCAGACTAGTTTATGTTAGATTCCATAAGTCCATAACTCATAAGCGATGAATTAATTTAATGTTATGGTTTCTTATACAGGAATTTGAATTAAAAATATTTGAAAAATTTGACAAAAATAATTTTATGTAAATGTTGTATATAATTTATGTTTGCAAATAAGCACACATATCATTACATGTTATGTAATACATATATAAATATATATATATATATTTATATTATAAATTATAATAATATAGAAAAATAACAATATTACTTGATAATTTATAAACATACATTGTTATTTTGTGTATTTTTTTAACATTATTAAAATTTTCTATAATGTGTTTAAATAAATGTATGTATAGGTTGAAAAAATAAATTGTTAAATTATTCCACTGTGGTAGCGATAGTATAATAATTTACGTAAAAAATAATGATATTTCTTAAATTTAAAAAGAACTTATAATTAAAAATATATTTTATATTTAAAATGTCTACCGTCTATTACTAATACTAATTATGTTATTTTAATTAACAAAAAATGTTATTATTAGTAAAGAAAAAAAAATGTACACAACAACCTTACAGGAATAGTATATAATATATAATATATATAAATATATATTATATATATATTATATAATATACACATACGAAAATTTAATAAATAATAATAAAATTTCATAATAATAATAATAATAATAATAATAATAATAAATTTAACAATACGGTTGGTTTTTTATTCGTATACAAATTTATCACCGTATTTAAATATAATTGACGTCGTTTTTTAAAAACACATTTTAAGCTCTGACATTTTTTAGTTACAATATAATATGTATTACATAATAATATGAGAAGCTCGATTATTAATTCGGGTAGAAATCGTTTCATAAAATATTTGAAAAATAATAAAAATGTCAAAAATGTATAATAATTTACTTACAAAATATTGTATAAAATAACACAATGACTATGTGCTGTTAACACATAAAAAAAATTAATTAAAAAAATAAACCGTACATAATAATAATGTTTTATTTTTAGGCGACACACGGTGTTCGTCAAATTCATATTTTTATTTTAATGTCTACGGTTTTTATTTGGGTATCGTAATTTATCGTTATAGATATGAGAATTATTGAATTATCGTTCGGCAGCTCAGTCTTTACGATCGTACACAGTAAAAACGACGACGGCTATGAACACCGCCATCTACTCGTCGTCTTTGTTGTTTCCACACTCCGGCTTGAAGTCCACTAGAGCGTGCAGTTGTTGAGCACTGTAGCTAAATGATAAAAATAAAAATAAAATTATAAGAAAACTCAAAAATTAGTTTCTGTATTATAAATCACTTATAAGGTAGGAAGGGTCTCGGTAGGGACAATACTTCAGAAAAGTCATAAAACCTGCACATATATCACTTACTACAGTATTACGCATTCATTATTGTTTAAGTGTAATGACAGAAAAAACATTTTGACAGACATAATGATAAAGAATAATACGTATTATTACGTATAATGTCATTATTATTGTAATACAACAACAATGAACGGCACACAACAATATAGGTGCGAATTCTGTTCCATATTTTTATTTTCTAGTTAGGATACATTTTACGCGATTATCGAAAAACTATGTTGATCTTGAACATTGCAGAGAATCATTTTACCAAAAAAACGGAAACCGTGTGTAAAGCAAATATAAGCGGGTGTATCTATAATTATTTTTCATTACCTATACAGCACAGGGCAATTATCTAATGAAGTGAATCCATTTAAACGATTGACGCCAAATGGAAACATCCATAAAATGGATACCCATTAATAAAATATAGTAACAGTACAGCTGTCGGTGTATTATATTACGATACTATGTTAACCTGTCGTTATTTTCAGAAGTTGCGGGTAAACATTTTATTAAGTTATTAAATTGACGTGGAAAAATATAATCTTGAGTCTTACAAATAAAAAAATAGACAAGAGAGAAAAAATATGTCAGTAAAAAAATGTGTACGTTTAACAACCATTGGCAATTCTTATTTTTTATCAAGAACGATTAAAATTTATAATAAATTGAAATGAATAAATTAAAACGAATTTCGACAAATCAAGGTTTTTAAGTGATTTCTTTAAATATACATGTTCTAAAAATGAACATATTAAATGTACAAATTTTATCGATAAGAGATATTACTGAATAAAAATACTTAATGTTTAAATAATTATACCGGTATTTGATATAAAACGTCCCATTCAACACAATTAACAGAGTATTAAGTTAATAATTTTACTAGTACCTTTTTAAGTATTTAACAATGCGGTTTAAAAGAAGAAGTTAACAAAAATTATGTCTATTTTATTTCGTAAAATCAGCAAAACACACAAGCAGCACGTACATAAAATCAATAAAACATGTGAAAATATACCGTTCTAGTCGGAGCGAAAGGTTAACTACATTAACTAACATAAACGAATAAATACCTACAGAGATGTTGAGGAAAAACTGTGAAATATATTTATCATCCCTCGTGTGTTCTGCTTGTAGTGAATATACATAGATTTATTATTTTTTCGTATCGTGTTTTACTGAATATCTTATCTAAGAACGGATTTAATAGAATAGCGTTACTCCAAATTTTTCAAGTATCTCCCATCCCTCTTAAGATTGAATTTATCAAAATAAAACAATTTTTTTAAATTTTTTTATATAAACACAATATTTGTGGCAAATATAAGAATGAATTGCACGTACAACTTTAGTACACACTAAAAAATGTGCGCATTTCGAGCAGTTATCTTGTTCGTTATGCCCTAAATCCGCTTCGAATTTTGCTCATTTGCATAATACAGCTTGTATTTAGTAAATTAGGAAGACAAAATTAAAATTAATGATTTTACCGGCAGATGTTACCTCTCGATCTTCTTTCTCTGTTGCCCATATAGATGCGCGTGAGGTTGGACTTTACGAATACTACTACTGTACTATACTATACTATACGAATAGTTTACTATTTTGATTAATACGTGTATAGTCGGACAATATTTTTGGAAGTGAATAATCATTTAAAACCGAAATCTTTACAAATACAATATAGAAGTAGAACAGATACAAAACGATTTTTATTGTATTCGATGTGGTTTTATATATCATTGATATAAATTTATATAATAACATCATAAAAATGTATTATTTCATCAGATATTATAACTTTAAACGTTCACTTATTCATTTGTATGAATTGGCTTATTTTAAGACGGTTAAATTATTTTCACAAACAAACATATACTTGTAGCTGTGTTACAAATAACTTTTACTCGCGTTACACTATTAGAGTTTCTTTTTAAACATATAATTGCCAGTCGGAACGTTAGTTAATTAAAATAGTTACCTGCCAAGGTCAAAAGTATAATAAAAATGATAATTTAGTTCGTGTTCAAGTTTTATTCGATTTTAATGTTTATCCCTTCAAACTCACAGTCGTTCTGTGCTCGGTGTGCATCAAAATTACAATGCCAGACCCGACCATACAGTAAATTTTTGTACCGTATAAAAAAAAATCAACGATATACATAAGATTTCGTAAAGAACACGCGTGAGTTCAATTCTTAACGATCGAAACTAAATATATGTAAGTATATTTAAGATTGTACATAGTCTTGAATATATATATTCTCACGCATAATACATGTATAAAGTTGTGAGTAGACTTACCCAAGGAGATTTTCGAGATCGCAAACAAATTTATACACGTATCTTTTGCCAGCCGTTTTGTGTATTATGTTCTTATCGTAGTAGTACCGGAGGCCACGGCTCAGCTTTTCGTAGTTCATCTTGGGCTTGTTCTTGCGTACGCCCCATCTGCGGGCCACTTCATCCGGATCGGTCAGTTTGAATTCCCAGTCATCGCCCGTCCATGATATGAACGCTTTGCAAGTGCGATCAGTCAACAACTCCAACAAGAACTGCCACAGTTGTATTGGACCACTTCCGGTAAAACAGGGACCACCGTCTGCACCATAACGAGGAAAAAGACCGTTAAAAATAGTTATACATTGTAGATATGTAATACAGAACAATTAACAGACGCTAGAGAAAAGAAATCGCGATTCGTGCACCGCAGTAGAACTGTTCGATTTTTAAGGGGACGTTATATTATGCATATATACCCGAACGGTCCACATGTACGTAGACGAACTCATTATGCGACGAAGAATATAATCTGTTACATCACGTCCGTAAAATAGTCGCCGTTTGTTTTTGGTAGCACGATTTTCTTTGAAAACAAAAGCTAAAGAAATTTCTTGGAACCACCAGCGTGAACGTTGAAACATTGTTATATAGTGATAATAATTACGTAAGACCACGGTTAAATTATGTTACACTTATGTATAAATGATGGGGCACTGGACCGCGGACAACCGCAGTCATCGTGTTATCGTTTCTAAAAATTGTACATAAACCCCTTACGGATATAAGCAGTTTTTTTTTTGCAATTATACGTACTGTACGAACAAAAACCAACGAGTAAAGGGTACGGTAATGAGCCACTGGGGTATAGCTTTGTAAGATGTATTGGTTACGGGTATCGATCACAACGGTTCACATATCTATTGAGAGTATTATGTATACGCGAGACGTGGGTACGCGTAATCCCTTTCATCGCTCTTTACTCGGGTTTTGCGGCAAACGACGCGGTCACACAAAGGAAACGAGACCGCACGTACGAAACAATGACACAGGAAAATCGGTCGAATGCAAACACAGGCGGCAGAGGCACGTCGAATTTTCCTGCGATATCGTTATTGCAGTCAATTGACACACGTTCCGCCGTACGTGAAACAAAAGCCAATTATTTAATAGACACGCTTATTGTTTTATTCAATCAAATCGTTAAGTCCACTCCGCTCCACATTCTCCGGTACCCTAATCTCTACGCATTATTATGTTAATAACGCGGGGTGTTCACGTGGCTCAATGTTATGTTTACATGTTGTCGTTGATCGGTAACAGTGCGTACACGAACAACACGGTTATCGTTCACGCAGCATTCAGATGGATATTATTAATACCCTGACCACCCCACCGTGGCTTTAAGGTACGCTTGTTCTATGCGAAAAAACCAATTTTAATCCAACTCGAAATAGCGCCCCCCTTACTACGCTGCGCCCTCAGCAACCACCGCCCATTTCGCCAACTTTTAGTTACTGACGGTGAACGAAGGGACGACGTGGGCACGTACGCGATGATAACGTAACACGTTACGTCGCTTGTCATCCGTCGAGAAAACGCGGGAAAATTATGTTCACGCGACGAAGCATTTATTATTAAGCGGTCGGGGAGCGTCGGTAACGTCGGGGTTTTGTCGCGTCGATACGGACTCGTGACACCAGAGCATATTTTAATAAACAAAGTACGTGGCACTAGTGCCTCCCCTTACAATAATAATTGAATGCTACAGGATGATCGTGCCACTAAACAACACATTCTCATAACGACCGTAGTGACAGGGGTTTGATTTTCCCCGTATGTTTCTCTGCAGAAGAACATCACGTATATGTACTACGATGATAGATAATTTTGTTGAAGTGTCACTCGCTGAAAATTATTTGTCCTGTGTTACACGCAATAAGGAATAAATCCGTACGAGTCCGACGACCGGCAGTCGCAAAGGGGGATCGAACAGTAGTACGTACAGGTGTGAACCGTGCAAAGACGATAACGTGTAACGTATTGAGTGTAATGCGCATTAAACAGCGCTATACTTACTCGGCGTGTAACTTGTGATGAGCGGTGGCGCTTGTAATTGCAAACACGGTTTTATTTCGACACCCATGTTGTTGTTGCCGCCGCCGGGTACCATCAAATGGTGTTGCGGGTGCTGCTGTTGAACGTGCGGGTTGTTGTTGTTGTAATGATGGTGATGATGGTGTTGCTGCTGCTGCTGCTGCTGTTGATGATGGTGCTGTTGTTGTTGATGGCCATGATGATGCTGTTGCTGCTGCTGATGTTGTTGCTGCTGCTGCTGGTACTGTTGCTGGTGCATGAAGTGCTGCAGCTGGAGCGCGGAATCGGCACCGGCCGCGGCCGCGGCCACTGTCCAGTGGTCGACCGCTGACATCGCGACGGCCGTGGTGGCCGCGGAGGTCTGATGAGTCGGTCCGGTGGTCGTGGTGGCGCCGTTGGGCACGGTCTGAGCGGCCGACTGGGACGGCGGCACGGACGTACCGGCCGCGCTGAGATAGGGCGACGTGGTACCGCCGCTCGCGTCCAAGTACGGGCTGCCGCTGGTCGTCGGGTACGACTGCTGTTCGGCCGCGTAGCTGTTGTCCTGCTGCTGCATGTACCGGCCGTGATCTACGAACGCAGAAAAAGAATCGTTAGCATTTCGACGCGGATAACAATCTAACAGGGCGCGCGTTTCGTTCGTAGTAAAAACGTATACAGTTCGAAAAATCGGCCAGGGCACGGTTGTCGTACGCGTCAACACCGGTTACCGAACCATGTACCACACTACCGAAGCGCCGGTAACCAGCGGCCGTGCATCGTGCGTAATGTATTTCAACCGTTGCGCGGCACATTTCGGACGCCGTTATCGCGCCGCTGATTGAAAACTCCGGTACCGCGCGCGCGTCCGCGTCGGTAGTGCGGAATCCGCCGAACGCGTTCGGGTTTTCGGCGGCCCGGTCAATTCGCGAAAACGATTTCGGTTCTTAAACGATACACTAACTCTACACTCGCGGCCAACGCGAAAGCCAATCTACATAATAGCGGTCCCGTGCTGTACAGTACAGCGAAGGTACGAGAGTTGTTTTCGAGAACGCCTATACAAACGTTCCGTGGTCTCCGTTAAGTGCGGGTAAAAGATCGTAGCCGCTGCAAGACACCGCGGCGAGACGGACGGCTCAGCGGGAAATCGGAAACCATAATAACGCATACTCGTTTCGCAGTCACGTTTTCGGATCGTACGCGCGTATCCGGTACGGGTATTACACGCGAGTGCAACGAGGACGCGTAGCACAAGGGATCGACTCGAGTTTTCGGATCACGAACGGATTTCACCGGTAGACATCGATACCGCGGGCGGATACAAATACGGTGCGACAATAGTCCCGCATATTATATATATATATATATATTATACATAAATTTATATATACATATATAATACATATACAATCGAATCCGAAGAGGCGTCCAGCTGTCTGGGCGAGTCCGATTTAAACATTGTTCGTCATCGTACGAAAAAACGTACAGAATTTATTTCCGGTCAAACACGCACAATTCGTTCAACGGCACTATTTTCACCGGGAAGAAAACGTATAAGAAGTGAACGCAGATATAATAATTATAAGAAGAATTATTCTTCTTCCCGCATAAGGTTTGATCAGTTCATAATATTGACAGTGTGAGAATTTTAAATACCTATGCGGGCAACACAATGTATTGACATTATTAGGGATGATGAACCGGGGTTTAGAATGTAAATCGATGTTTAATGACATTTTTAAGGTACGCAGTAAATATTCGTGTAAAAATGTGATTATTGCGGTAAGTACCAATTTTACGCGAAACCCGTTTTAGTTTCTTTTCAATAAATACGAACGCTTACTCTATGGCGTGTGAATTTTATAAAAACGTCGAAGTGAAAATTTAAGTACCTGGCTCGGAAAAGGTTTACTACCCTAGGTACCCATGTATATATTGTTGTTGTTATTATTATTATTATCATGTGGTGCTCTGTACACGGCGCATCCGTTACTTTGACTTACAATATGAATTCTTACAGCCGTGGTCGAAGGTAAATGTGTATGATTAATGGTAATATAAATGTCGTATTTTATGTATTGTGCAAATTTCGTTTTCTCGTGGTCAATGCCTGAATAGATACAAACTTCCAAAAAAAATCTAAATGGGGGAAAAAAAAAAAACTGAATGGTAAATATTTCGTACGAAAAGATTATTTATTCCAAATACCGCTTAGACCGGACGATATATATATATATATTGTGCATGTATAACGTATGCATTTAACGCAGAACAACTTATGCGATACTATTAAATGTATATACGAACTCGTTACTTATTTATGTTTCATCCGTTTGCCTATACCTATGTATTATTATTTATAATTTTTTTTTTTTTTTTTACTATTTTATTCGTGGTATATACGGTCATAGACGAACACAAAAAAAGCGTTTATATTCTGGACGCAGGACGAGGGCGTGGTTTATAATAACAGAAGCAAACGAATTTTATGATGATTTTGGGTAGGGCTGCAGCATACATAAATAAATAAACACGTAAATAAGTACGTGTGTGTGTTCACCGTGTACATGTAATAATGCTCGAGGTGGCGGTGAGGAAGAAGGAACGCTTAAGCAAACCGTGACGCGCGCGACTAGACAATAGACTATGTACTAGTTGTTTTTAGCGATGACGATTAAAAGTTATTCGCGTTGCGTTGCGCGATCGTATTGTTCTTCGCCATTTACAGTTTGTTGCGTTCTATATCCAATTACGAGTACCTATAGTTCGCGTGACCCATCGTACGAGCATGAGCATAACACACGTGTTTTGTATGTTCACATATATATATTATATAAAGTGCCGTGTTCATTCGACTTCGACTTTAATAATGTGAAGGGAGCGGAGTACGGACGAATCGTCCGAAATGTGAGTTACGGTTATTGTCTGATCATAATCCGGATTATCGATTAAAATCATCACTCTAAGATACGGGCTAGGGAACACGTTAAAGTCGAGTTGTTTCATACGAGCACGACATCGAAACCACAGAATAAATGAAATCAGAATGACCAATTTTAAATGTAAACAAAATTCAGCCACCATATTTTTGGAGTATTAATATCTTATCACACTAAAAGTGATAACATTTATTCTGTAATTGTTTTGAAAACATTGACGTGCACGTGCTTCATAGTTCATTGTATTGACTCAATGGATATTGCAGTGGCGTATACAAGGGGGGTGTTTGGTAGATATGACACCCCCCTTGAGCCGTATCATATATTACATTATTATAGGAATACGAGTATAGGTAAATCGATAATACAATATGAAGTATAAAATAATGCACAATACTAATTACATAAATACAGGTTAACATTATCGCGATTGCGACAATACGTGACGAAAATTATTCGTTTACGTTTTCGTGCAACACAAAACGTTTAATAATAATAGGTATTGAAGCATCGAATACTGATATTCGAATGATTTATGGTAAAGCTATCCGAATTCGAATATACATTACATCTCTATTACAGACATTATGTATACATATTAATTAATTAAAATAAAAGTTTTAGTTTGTACGTATTATATATAATATTTAATAATTATAATTAACACCCTCCTTCAGAAAATCCTAGCTACGCCACTGGGATATTGTGTATTAAACCTTGTTAATTTCTAAATAAATAATTCTCGTACTTATTGTACATCGAAAAAAGTTATTTATTTACAAAGGGAGGAATGAAGGGTGCTGTGAAAGGATGTAAAAATTCAATGAAAATTATTATTAGCATAGTTCTATCACAGAATAAATTAAAATTATTCCGTTTTACAATGTTACTAGTGGCAAACTGGCATATATTTAATGAATTTAAATGATGAATTGAAATATAAAACTAAATTTCAATAATTTTATGTCAATGGTACAATACAACAGAAGTTGTAATTAAGCAAATTATCAGTCTATGCGGTTAAATGGTCACACTGTTGGGACTCCAAAACAATGGCCGAATGATTTTTGAACTCCCTTATGTTCCCTGTGTAAAATCTTATCAGTGAACATTCTGATTTCATTTATTCTAAGTCGAAACGCTCATGATTTCGACGTAAAAACGAAAACACGTGAAACGTCAAAAACCGTCGATGTTCACAACCACCGCAACAGTGAAAAAAATTATCTTAACGAGATGTTTACGTTTATTATAAATGTACTCACTAGCGCGGTGCTGTTGTTGATGGTGATAGTCCCTGTGCTGCTGGTAACGGCTCTGCTGCTGTTGCTGCATGAGTTGCTGCTGCTGCTGCTGCTGCTGCTGTTGAATTAGAGGTAAAGATGGCGGCGGCTGAGGTGCTTGCTGTTGAGGATAAAGCTCGGGAGGCGACGACACGGTTGACTCCATGACGTTCTCCCCGGCACCAACCATCAAACCGCCCGCGTTGTTGTTGTCCGGCGTCGTGGAACCGCTGCCGCCGGTTTGGCTGGGTGGTGTTGTGGTGCCTATGCTCGTCGTGTAGGTAATTCCTGCGTGCGATTTACAACAAACGGCATTAGATATCGGTCGTACGCGTACAATGAAGTGGGGCGACAGTTTAAACGTTTATCGCAATGATGACGATAAAAATAACAATAATAATGATAATGATTATAATGATGATGGTAAAAGCCAACGCAGCAGACCACTCCTGCGCCGTATTCGTGATATACTTCACGCGCGCATTAGACGAACACGGTAATACCCATGAGAAACGTTGTAGAAAATAAAAAAATAAAATAAAAAAACACGGCGGTCGGATGGAGTTTTGTAAGCAAGTCGGCTGCGTCATCATCGCCGCGCCGTGGCGTAGAAAAATCACAAATAGGTAAATGTACTCAGCCGTGTAGAATAATAATACGAAACAATGCCCATCGCGTTCTGCAGTAGACACTTGCCGTGTGCGGGTACCCACGAGGGACGACGACGACGACGGGAGGGGATAATTATGACCACTGTACGTACAACATAAATGTATACGCAACATTATGTATACAATGCAGTACTGATGTTAATGGTTGATAGGTTACGCGTACGTACATAATGTTACGTACTCGCACGTCAAGGGGGAGAGCTGAAAGTCACGGTCATCGCCGCTGCTGGTGCAACCACCGTCGCGCCGTAGTCTAAAATATATATTTCGGATTCGTTGCCAACGAGAATTATTTTATTCGATATATTATACACGCGCGCGCGCGTGTATATTAGCTATACGATAATGATAACGATAACAATGCATGGGAGGTCCACTCGTCCATAAAGGTTCCACCACGATATATCCAGTCGTCGTCATAGCGCGATAAACGGTATATGCCATGGTGTACATGAAATATGTTAGATACACATTTTTAAATCGATACGCTTTATTATTATTAATATTAATATTGTTAGTCATTCCTATTACTATATCGTATCCCTCCACGGGTGTATAATACCGGCCGTTGCGTCGTCGACGACACGTACGCTTAATTATTATATACTCGGGCGAGCAGAATACCAATAAGTCTGTATAGCTCGACGTTTACATATTATACACTTTATATTTGTACATTGACGCGCGCGCGATAATAAAACCGGGAAACAATGGTTTTGAATCAAACTATTTATTATACATACGGTATAGGTATCTATAATTTGAACACTGCTGTTGTATACGCTACGCTACACATAATATACATAGTATACGCAGGTCAAACGTACACACGCAGCGATATCTATACGATCCAATTTTTTTTTTTTTATACCTACAAATCAAAACAATACCGAAATGTCGACATCAATTGAATAGTCGAGTATGTAATTATTATTGCAATGGTAATAATATACACGTAAGAATCTGTTTGGACACTGCAGGTCACACGGATGGCCTTAGTCCACCAAAATTACAAATCGAATTCATAAAATAAAAATAATTGTAAAAAGACGTGCTCAGATATTGTATTCGACGAATTTCGTTAGGAACATTTAAACGCCTAATACGTATCAAAAAAAGATGAACTGAATATACTTTGGTATTATTCTGATTATATGTATTATACCAGAATGAAATTATAAAATCCTCGTGAGACAACCTGTACTTGTAAGATACATGTACACACACACACACATGGACACTCGCGTAAACGTGCAGTATAAATCGTCCAATGATAAAACAATCTGCCAAAAATGTTGAGGTTTTTTATTAAATCGAATAATCCGAGAAAAGTTATATATTAATGATTTTATTTTTTTTTTTTTTTTTATAAAACTACAGTAAGAGTTACTACACAACAAATTATGAAAACGTGATACGAATTATTTTATTTATTTAGTATGACATACTGTGATTAAAAACGTAATGACCCTACAGTAATATTCATTGACAATTGTGTAAGGATATGAACAATCTATTTTCATTTCATCACATTAAGAATATCAATTCTTTAGAGTTATCTTTCTAAGTTCTTCATGAAATCCACACTCTAGATATTACTCGATATTTTACTGATTAATGAATGAATGTAAAATATTAAACCTTCAGTTTGGATTTCAAATCATAATTCGAAATCGCCTTGAACAAAAGCAAAAAAGCGTAAAATCAATTGAATATACGAAGGTTAAATGTTAGCAGCGTACACCAAATAATTTCAATGATTACCAATTGCTTTTTTTGCGAAATAAAAAGTCAAAGATACAACGGATTTGCATGAAAAAAAAAAAAGAACAATTAATTATTACAATCGCGCGAGACGTTCTTTAATCATTTCGCTCTGATTAGTTTATATAAAAATAAAAAAAAAAAGTTTTAATTATTTAAATTTTAAATGAATTGTAAATGTATAAATAAACACAAGTTACAAGTACCTACGCAGCGGAGAAACGTTATTAGTTGATCTGAAAACTATTTGTGTTACTTATTCATGCGCACAAAGGAGGTACCAATATAATATATAGGTATATATATATATGTTGATGCGCCGTGGTGTTTTGCATAGATCAAAATTGATTCCAAAATGGCTACGTACAATATCATCGTCTTGATCCTTTTTTTCCCATTTTATTTTATTTTAATTCACGGTTATTGTGTTGTTTTCAATGGCGCGGTACTAGTAGTACAACTACGAGCATGGTACATTCGTTGGACCGAATCGTTGATTTTTTTCTCCGCCGTGTCGAAATTTATCATTTAGTCATTGTGTATGCATATGATGGGTTGGGTGCGACGGTGGCGGTGAAAAATCGGTGTAAAAAAATCATCGGTGTGTAAAGTTGAAGCAGATAGGCCCGGAAGTGAGTCGTTCGACGACGATGACGACGACGACGACGGCGAGTGGGGTGGGCACTGAGCAGTGATTGGTTGCACGTTGTGCGACGCCTACCGACTCGCCGCCCGACTATAAACGCACGCTGCGGCTACAAACAATTTATCGCAGCGGCGGCGGAATGATACATTTAACAATGTTCGAAATCCGAGCGCAGGCATTGTTGTTGTACGGAGAGCGCACCGAAATGCTTACATAACGTTGTACCGTATGTGTCGTCCATAAATAAGTTGGATATATAAAACGTCAGAAAAGTGTCATCGACGAACGAATCGGTTTCGGAGGAAATACATGATTACATCGTACCTACCGTACAATGGTGCACGCGCCCCTTGTTAGTGCTTGGTTTCGATTAAGCAGATACGTATATTATCTGAGCAAAAAAATTAATTGGGTGTGGCGTACAAAGCGTGCGTAAGGTCATACAAGGATAGTTTATTTCGCGTATCCATTACGCGTGCGGTGTCATTTGTGTCGTTGATAGCGAAAAATTCCCACTTCGTCACTGCATTCGCGATGTACGTCGAACGGAGAGTTTTATACGGAGTCAATTTGTACGGTTTGACAGAAAATCGGGGAGGAAAAATTACTTTAAACATTCGAGCGAAAACCGTGCGCCGCAGATGAAGGTACCCAGATGATAAACATCCCTTCGGTGGCACTTCGGTTTATAGTTTTTCCAGTCTTGTAGTGTGTTATAAGGAGAGATAAAACGATAAGCCCGTGATGATATCGTTATAATAATAATAATTATTATTATCATATCATATTATATAGGTGTAATAGCGTACGTTATTGTGTCATTCTTTTGTCGAAGAATAGTGCGATCATCGATTCGATTTTTTACCCGGTATGTCGATGCGTGTGCGTAACCCACCGACGACAAACGGCGCATACTATATTATTATTATTATATACGTACGGAAAACATCAACCGCCCTTTGAAATGAAATCTGAGCACGTACCTACCACGCGTCGCACCGTTGGGGGCACCGTCGTCGTATAGTACACCGCTGCAGGCACTATACGCTGCGCACACGTGTCTCGCACGGTCGTGTTTATTGAATATCAATATCGATCGTGTCGTTTTCAAGCCATTAATTAAAAATAAAAGAACGTCGTCGACGTGTGCCTCGGCTGTGCAGTACACCTTAATATATAAATCGTATACGCGATTCGGCGGACGTACCTATATTATACTATTTTACATTTACCTATCAGGGTTCCGGAGCCGGAGAGTACGATAGACGAAAGGACTTCGTGTCTTCAGCCCCCTTTTCCTCTCTATCTACTAAACGTGGGACTGAGATGTTTTTAAGATTATATTTTATATTATATTATAAAATATTTTAACCGGAGTACGTGTTTATTGTTATTGTGGAATGCAGTTTACACGGTGTACGTTCATAAGGATTTAATCACTGATATATTGTTATTCTACCAATCAGTATAAACGATAAAATAAAAATATGAATAAATGTATATTTAAACCGAAAAAATTGAAATCGATTTCCGTCCGCAACAAACGTGTCTGGTTATCACACGTACACTCGATCGAATAGACGAAAAAACACATTTTGAATCGAATCGATCGTTACATTTTTGTACAGTGTACTATGCAACGCTGTAAGACAAGAGTGAAAAAAAAAAATACGTTACGAAATTGGCCGTTTATATATTATACGTATAGTCGTGCAGAGACCGGCCACCAGCCGTCGTCGTTATCCAAAAGCGACAACATACTACTAGCAGGTGCTTATAATAAACATTAGACATAATATACATGCATACACGTCTTAGGCATTATGAACCCAAGTAACGCATTATATATATATTTAACGGACGACAACGGGTAAGTTACATACACATTTTATAATGTGTCATGTGGTAACGCTAAGCTTTGTTACACGAGTTATGTATAAACGTTAAGTGGCCAAGTAGGTTTAAAAATTACAACTCCAACGATATATTGTACAATTCAATTCATCGTTGAGGACAGAGCATTTCATTCTGCCGGCGGACCATAGTAATACGTGCATAATATTCCGCCGACTGAAGTAGTTAAAGAATTATTAAATCAGTTCAAGTTAGTTAATTGTTAGAATCTAAACCGATTACGAATAAACATGTAATATTACAAATATGAAACTAATAATATACGTATACGCGCGCGCTTATAAGGAAGTGTG